TATAAAATAACTTCCCAGAAATGTCTCATAACTCGAATGGCAACCTAGTGATATCTGCAGTGATCCTGGGCACCCTCATTTCATGAGTGAAGTATCAAAGCTCAATGTGACTTGAATTCCATTTTGCAGCCTTCCCTTTATCACAACTTTATCCCCTTCTACTCCATACTACAATAGAGTACCTATCACCAGATACCTGGCTGAGAGGGGAGGTCCCAGAAAAGTCATAGGATCACAGATTTAGAGCTGCAAAAGGTACATATAGATTAAGTGAATTAAAATGACTTTTTTGGTCTTTCATGTCCTTAACAAGATCTTTTCCACAACTTCTTATGTACAAGTCATCATTAATTGCATGGTGCCACTTTTATTTTTCTTATTTTTTTAATATATTTTCTTTTTCCCCAACTACATGTTAAAACAATTTTTAACATTTGTGAGAGTCAGGTAAAGGTTAGATTTCCACAGAGAAAGAGAATAATGCAGAGATTTAAAGAACAAAGGTCCCAGGAAGTGGTACACTGTAGGTGGGCTGGGCTTGACCAATAGGAAGTAAGTGGATTGTTCCAAGAAGACCCCAAAATCAAGATAAGGGTCAAGCCAGCTCAGACCAGTTGGGGTCAACCTGAGGACACCTGAAAAGTGCTAGTGCGCCTGCTTAATGAGCTTCATTACTATTATCTGACACATCCCGCATAAAATTGGAGCCTCATTAACGAGTCATGGAATGTATGACCAGGGGAGGGGGAACATACTTGATCATGTCAAGGGGAAACATGTTAGGAGGGGTGTGGCCTGGGAAGGGGTGGACCAATCCCAGCCTGGGAGGTTTCGCGCTGAATTCAACTGCATAAAAGCACACTTGCCCTTACACTCAGGGCCCACCCCTCCTGAAGAGGGGTGGAGCCCGCTTCTGGCCAGAAACGTCTAAATCCTCTGGACTTTCTTTATAATAAATTTTCTTGATACTAAATTTTTGGTGTCAAGCCTATTTCTAACACTTTTTTTAAAAGTTTTGAGTTCCAGATTCTATTCTTCCTTATGCTCTCCCCTGTACACGATGATAAACAATCAGATATAGGTTATACACGTGCAATCATGTAAAACATTTCCATATTAGTCATTTTGTACAAGAAGATTCAAGTAAAAGGGAAAATATGAAAGAAAGAAAGAAAATGAAAAATAGCATGCTTCAGTCTGTATTCAAACAATATCACTTCTTTATTTGGAGGCAGATAGTATGTTTTATCATTGGTCCTTTGGGATTGTCTTGCATCATTGTATTGCTGAGAATAGCTAAGTCACTCACAATTCTTCATGGAACAATATTGTTGTTTCTGTGTACAATGCTCTCCTGGTTCTATGTTCTCCATTTTTGCATTGGTTCATGTAAGTCTTTCCAGCTTTTTTTTCTGAAATTATCCTGCTTGTCATTTCACATAGCATAATAATATTCCATCACAATCACATACCACAGCTGGTTTAGCCATTCCACAGTTGCTCAGCAGGTGCCACCTTTAGCAATAAGTACAGCTAAGGCTGATCACTAGACAGAATTATCAGGGAATCCACACCTACTTAATAGGGAAAAGGCATTTATTTTATCTGGTTACTTACTATCTTCAGTGATGATGTACCTTAGTTAGAGGAGCTCATCTTTAGAAGACTTCTAGTGTGCTATGATGGTCTGAGTATTCCCCTTGCATCTCCCTTTGTATTGTTGTGTATGGTTTTGTTTTCTATACCTTTGGGAAAGGTAGCCAGGAGAATCCATCTCTCTGTCTCTGTCTCTGTCTCTGTCTCTGTCTCTGTCTCTGTCTCTGTCTCTGTCTCTCTCTTTCTCTTTCTCTCTCTCTTTAAGTTTTAAGATACAAGATTTATCACTGTGTCTCTTGGGAAATAAGACACAGAGTAGGGAGGAGGGAAGAGATGGGGAGAAAATTTGGAACTCAAAATCTTGTGGAACTGAATGTTGAAAACTAAAAATAAATTTAAAAAAGAGGAACAAGAATTCACAGAGTATAGGACACAGAGTATATCCATGAGATCTGAACAGTAATGAAATTCTCTGCTATTCTGGGTTCAGAAATAGTTATCTGTTGCTTCACAATTGAGCTCAATCACCTATGACTGGGAAAAATTACATAGCAATGTACATCTTTGTGACAAATGACAATATAGCTTGTTTATATCCACCCTGAATCTCTTCCACTGACTCTTTGGTGACCTGTAATTTTGGCTCTTCTAAGATTGTGTTCTTTTATGATATAGACACATAGAATCTCCAGTAGAATATTAATGTTAAAGACAATAACTTCTGTGGCAGCAAGCAATTTGGAATCATTGAAGTTACTGAATAACTCCTCAAAATAGAGGCAATATGGTAAAGTGAATAAAATTACATGCATGGATTGGGGCACCTAGGTTAGAATCCCAACTTGGATCCTTATTAGCATTGCAACTGTAGGTAAGTCGTTTCACTTCTAAAAACTTGACTTTCCTCGTGTCAAAAGTGGGGATAATTCTTGCACTATTTATTATATGGCTGTTTGGAGAAAACTACTTTGCAAATGTTAAAAAACTATGTAAATGTGAGTTATCTAATATTTTTATTAGATAATACTAGTGATTCCCTGATCCTGTTAATACTTTGAAATAAAATCACAAAAGATAAAGGGATTGTAGGTTCACAAAAGGATAGTAGATTTTGTTAATAATGTTTTTCAATATTTTATTGATGTTTGTTAATTGTATAATGTTTATTAATGAAATCCACTACCACCTACCTCCCCTCTCCTTCACCAAGATCCATTTGTTTATTCAGCTATCACTTTGGAAGTAGAAATGGATTGTGAAATTGGAGTTAGTGATATTTGTCATTGTTAGCTTTTTAAGGTTGATATTATGGGAGAAAATGGCAATGTTTTCTCTCTCACAAAATATCATTCAATGCTTCTGACATGATCAGAATACAGGGTGAGATGGAACAGTGAGCTGACTTCATGTGGCATATTTTCCATTCTTACATGCTATTCTTACATCAAGTAGGGCCTGATCCAACCTTAAATACAGTTTTACCTTGTAAAAATAGAGGAAGGGTCATGGTTAGAAACAATATACATGTGTATGTATGCATGTAGACATGAAAGGATTCTAGGGAGTGAGAGAAGCCAAAATGTCTCCTTAGGAATACATAGAACCAACCAGACAGTTACCAAAACCATACCTACCAAACCTTCTGCCAATTAATTCTAATGACTTCATATAAGTTCATATACATGGAAGCTCATGTCTACACACAAAGTACCATCACATAGAAGGACTTCCTAAGTGGGTCTCACCTATAGGATCATTCCCAATCCAAGGAAAGGAGAAAAATTGCCAAAAAAAAAATGAAGCCAGACATCATCGTCATTGTTAGATGGTATTTATTAATCATCATTACCTAACAACATATGTTACCTTAAAATAGAGAACAATCAATACACCTCCTGGGAATTTGTATTCTGAAACAAATCTCTTGGAGTCCACCTATTAGGAGGGCTGTCACATGGCTAAAATGAGATAATATATGTAAAACACTTTGCAAACCTTAAAGCACTATATAAAGATCACTAATTATTTTAATAACAATCTAACACATATTCTCATCTTATATTTAAAGTCTTACAGCTTTAAGTCTGAGGTGACAATGAACACCCCAAATGCTTGTAGAATAAAGGCTAATTTTTTGCAGCAAATGAATGCATTTTCTGTTTAGATAAGGAAGGCCACACTTTATCATAGAAGGAAAATTGAGTATTTATTATTAGCACTTCTTAAATATAAGCCAGAAATAAATGGAATCAAATATATTTGTTTTCCCTCCACTCTTCAGATCTTTAGAAAATCTATTCAAAAAGGTTCATTAGTCACGAAGGATTTATTGAATGTCAACTAGGTTCAGGAATGGGGCAAACAAGTAAAACATGGTCATATCCTACCTTAAGAAAACTGACTATATGAAAATACAAAGCTTAAGAAGCAATACAATAATTGATGGGTGTGTGTGTGTGTGTGTGTGTGTGTGTGTGTGTGTGTGTGTGTGTACCTGATATCCATTCTGTGGCAAAAGATAAGCTAGCCCTCACCAAAAAATAATAATGATAATAATAATATTTTTATTTGTTTAATGTATAGCATATAAGATAAACCCCATTTAGGAAAAATGCCACGATCTTGGGATTTTCAAAGTCATTATTTACTTTTTGATGAAGGCAATATTTCCACCATTGAGCAAAAATTAATGAATCATAAAATGTCAAAACTGGAAAGGATCCTAAAGATCATCATGTTGAACCTCTTCCGTTTACAAATAAAGGACAAAGACTCAAATAAGTTAAAGCCCATTGTCAAAGCCCATTGACTCTTTCAAGCAGGATCTGGCCCCAAGGGAACATGTTTTAGGATAAAGTAGGCACACATTTCTACTGAATTTTACTGTTCCAACTTTGATTTTTATAGCTGCCCTTGGCTTTTGACCTATTACTCTTGGACTTGGATCCTATATTTCTGACTTGGGTATCTTACTGACTGATGAATGTCTGGCTTTTACTTGCGAATCATTTAATCTTTCAATTCCAAAGTTTGGCAATATTTTAGGGCTGGTTTAATCCAATCTCATAGTAATATTGATTTAAAGCTAGAAGAGATCTTAGAGGTCTTATCCAACTTATCCCCTTTATTTTACAGATAAGAAAACTAAGGCCCAGAGAAATTAAGTGACTTGCCTAAGGTCACACAGATAATGCTAGAACAAAAATACAAACTTTTGATTGAAATTTAGTGCTCTTTCCACTGTTATCACACTACCCCTTTCCTAGGGGCTCTAACTCTCAAGCTGAAATTTCCACCTGTTAATCATCCTATGAAACTCTGGAGTATTTGGAGTATTCTGGCCACTTTCTCATCTCTAGTAGGGACCCGGAGAGACATGACAGTGTAGGAAAGTGCTAGCCACATGAACTCATATGCAATTTACCCATGACATTTTCATGATACAATGGAAGAAAAAACATTCTAAAGGAAACAGGCTAGAAACTGTGCCTTTGATTTGGTCTTCACTGACTAATAAGGATAGCTGTAAAAATCTGAGGAGGGAGGGTGGTTGTTGAATGTCCCTGAAAACAGAGTTAAAAGTATTTATTTGTCAAACTCTTAATGGATTGTGGAAATTAATGTTTTTAGATATGCCATCATAAAGCATAGAGAAATTGGAGAGATTAATTCCTTGTTTCCAGATATAAGCAAAATCTCCATCACATTTTCTCCCCAAGTTTCTCATTGATTCATATGCGAATGTCCCAAGGAACAAACGACCCAGGTTCATCCTTTGGTATCTAGAGAAAAGAAGACATTAGGATATTCGTTATTTTATTGATGATACCATTATTTTTATTTTGCTTATAATTGTAGCAAATCATCTGTCATTTTCCACTACTACTTTGACTTCAATACTTGAAGGAACTCTTGTTTCATTCATTTCATTTGCCTCCATATGCTCCCCATTGCTAGCCTGGGTGTTGATAAGTGAATTTTTGCTGGGGTTCAGGGCTCCACACCACTTCCTGGCATACTCCACAGCATGTCCCATGCGCGGATTCCCTTTCCTAGTTCCCCGGCACATAATGAGCACAAACACACCAGCTACTGGTTAACCTTCTGGGGATGAACCTTTCCAAACTTAGCTAGTTTACCAGTGAGGAGCAGGTGGAGGTAGTGCTCCTCACACACCAGACAATCTCTTGCCAGGTCTGCCCTCAAAAGCATTTCTAACTTGGCAGGACTTTCCAGTGCTAACATTCTGTTGGCATGAGGGTCAAGTATTCAGGGCCACTTTCATATCATGATGAGTCAATAAGACTTTAATGGAGTCATTGTCCATTAGGGCTCAAAAAACTGTCCAGATACCTGCTCATCAGGTAGCCATCTAGGTAGTGGAAAAGAAACTAAATGTCTTTTGTACAGACTCCAAATTCCCTCTGTTCCCATGAAGCTTGATTATGAGATACCATCCAACCAAGGCACTCCTGCTCTGACCAACGAACCATCCACTGGTAAGCTACGAGAGCCTTTTACTTAAATAATAATTGTAATTCACCCAAATTGCAACCCCTTGGTCTGTGATTTATGACAAAGAAGTATTCAAGTCACATATTTACTGTAGAAGTCAGATTCCTCTTTTCTCAAGTCATTGGTCAATCACGTCTGACTCTTCATGACCCCCCCTTTGGGGTTTTCTTGGCAAAGATACTGAAATGGTTTGCCATTTCCTTCTCCAGTTCATTTTACAGATGAGGAAACTGAGGCAAACAGGGTTTAAATGACTTGCCTGGGTTCACACAACTAGTAAATGTCTGATGCTGGATTTGAACTCAGGTCTTCCTAACTCTAGACTCAGTGATCTATCCACTGTGCCACTTAGCTGCCCCAAATGCCTTCTTTTCTACTCTATCTCAAATGATTTAGTGGGTATAATACTAGACTTGGAGTCAGGAAGACCTAAGTTTAAATCCTGCCTGAAATAACTTACAGCAGCGTAAGCCTGCTCAAGTAACTTAATCTCTCTGTAAAACAAGGAGGTTGGACTCATTGTCCTCTAAGGTCTTTTCTATGTCTAAATCTATGACTCTAAAATTGCCTTTAAAACAACATACTAGGGATAAAAGAGTTCTAAGACTTGAAATATCAATTTATATTGAATAATTATGTGTTCATTACTAAATATACCATCTTGGCCTCCTTAAACTTGGGCAGAGGCAGTGTTATATGCCCAGAGGGAAAAAATGGCCAAGAAAGAAAAAAGAGAAGAATAAGCTAGTTCTTCCAGGTTATTCTTAGTAATATTTAGCTTTTAATAGCTCCATAAATTATGAGGCATCTACTAATCTTGAAGAGAGGCTTGCAGACAAATAAAGGGTTGAAAAAGAGTCACAGAATGCCCGAGTGGACCAAGGACTGACCTTAGAGTCACTAAGTCCTGCTCTGACATACACATACTAATTATGTGACCATAAGCAAGTTACTTAAACTTCCCAGTGCTCCAAGTAACTTTTAAAGAAAAGGAGTTTGAAGGATGGAGCTCATGGAGGAAGGAGGTTTGAAGCACAGGTACAAGTAAAGGAATGGGTTTTTTTTGTAAGAAGGGCCACTTCTCTCTACAAGACTAGGAGAGAAGAGATGGAAGAATGATGTTGAGGTGATTTAGAACATAGAATTGGAACGAAAAGGGAATTTAAGATGGATGGACTCGATTTTTTTAGCATTTGAAAAAACACTCTTTTGTGAGGGAGGAGCAGTAAGGTTGTATAACTGGTTCAAAGTGAGAAAAGAAGGTCTGGACTATTTTACTGACCTTTTTTTCCTTCTAGAAACCCTGCCCTCCTTGGGTTTTCATAACACTGTTCTGTCTCGGCCCTCTTCCTGGCCACTCCTCAGTTTCCTTTATTGGTTCATCATCCCTTATTCCATCCCTTTTTGTGCACACACCCCAGCCTGGCTTCTCTATACTTCTCTCTATACTCTTCTTAGTGATCTCATTAGCTACCATAGGTTCAATCTTCTCTATGAACACACCTTCCAGTCCAACATCAGAAACAACTTATTAGACAGTTCTGCCTGGATTTCCCATAAGCATTTCAAACTCCACATATTCATACCAGAACTGACTATTTTCCCAATATCCAAATCTTGTCCTCTTCTTTACTTTCTTATTTCTTTTGAAATCACCAACCAGTCCCTCAGATTCACAACCTTAGCATCATCTCAAATCTTCTCTCTCTCACCTCTCACATCCAATCAGTTCTCAAGTTTTGTCAATTCTACCTCCGCAACATTTTTCTCATTCATCCCCTTCTCCCCACCTCTCAAGTCATCCCCTCTCACCTCAACTACTATGATAGCTGTCAAATTGGCCTGATTACAGCTTAGATTTGGAGAGAATAGACATTAAAGGGTACAAGGAAAGGATAGGATCCCAGGGAATAAAATTCTGCAGGGAAAGTCAACCAAAAAGGGGAGTCAAAAATGAAATTCTGAAGACAAACAATGATATACTGATGAGTATAAAACGGGGAAATTGTCTAAAGAGAATGCCATAGATATACAGGGAACTCATCAATCAACTTAGAAATTGGAAAAGCAAGGACCTGAACCCAAATCTTCAAAATCCAGCGCTCTTTTCACTCTACCATGAATATGAAGTATGACATAATCCTGTAAGAACAATGTCAAGAGTACTGAAACTCAAAATAAGCTGAGGCTGAGGAAAGCTGAGGAAATTTGTAAAGGTTTTGTTTTTTTAATTTCTATGACAGGGAATGAACCTGTAGAAGGGGACTCCAAGATGAAGAAATGACCTCTGCTAAAGCAAGTGAGCACCTTCTCCGCAACTTATGATCTTAGAGAACTGATTAGATTTCTAAGAGGTTAAGTAATGCCCAGAGTCACATGGCCAGGATATATCAGAAGCAAGACTTGGACCTAAGTCTTCCTGGCTCCAAGACCAACGCTCTATCCACTACACCATGCAATCTCTCCTTTTAATATTGTTGAATAGGAGATAAGAGTAACAAAAAAGGGTTAGGATTGTTGCTTCAAAAAGATGGAATAATGATGGAGAGAAGGTTTCTTTTGTTCCTTTGAATTTCTCTGGCAAGAAGGATGATCTTTGGATGAGAAAGTACAGAACAAAAATGCCTAATAGGGAATTAATACCAAAGATAAGCATAGAGATCCTAAGTAAGCCCTTATATGCCCTTGATAAGTTCAGATCACTTGGCACAAAAGAGCTGCCTTCCAGGGTATGTCTGATGAGATTGCTGAGCCACTGTTGATGATACTTGGAGATCATGGGGAATGGAAAAGGTATGGATGGATTAGAAAAGGATAGATGTCATAATTTAAAAAAAAAAAATGAAGAGGATGGAGCCTGTAAACTATAGTCCAATGAGTTTGACTTAAATTCCTGATTAAAGGGACAGTTTGTGAACATTTAGAAAAGGAACTGTTTGAAGTAATCATCAGCCTTTCAGGCCTTGTCCAACAATGAAGAAATAATTAAATCAGCTGGAATCCTTGATCTTGGCCTTCTATTTATGAGTTAACTTCTTTTGTTAATGGGAGAGGGAGAAAGAGGAAGAAAGATATTGTGAGTTTGTGTCTTTGGATGTGGTAGGAGATGAAGAAGAGTTATTTCACAAATAAAACATTTTAAAAGACAACCAAAAAAATGCCACTTTTTTCAGATAGACTGGTCATGAAAAGATTAGCGAACAGGTTAAATTACAAGGGCCACCTATATCAGATTTTTTTAAACCTAACTATTCCTCTGCAGCTAGATGGCACAGTGGATAGAGCGGTAGGCCTGGAGTCACTAGTCTTCCGGAGTTCGAATACAGCTTCAGATATTTACTAGCTGTGTGACCCTGGGCAAAGAACTTAAATCTTCTTTCCCTCAGTTCTTCATCTGTAAAGTGAGCTGGAGAAGGAAATGGCAAACTACTCCAGTATCTTTGCCAAGAAAACCCCAGATGGGGTCATGAAGAGTCAGACAGGACTAAACAACAACAAAATTCTTCTTTGTTGTACTTTTTCTTTTTTGTTTATAAAATGAAGAATGAAAAATTGTGAATTTTTTACTGTAGGGCTGCAAGTCTAATATTTCATACCCTCAGGAATCTGCAGGGCTCTATTTAGAGATAATAATAATCCTAAAAGTTATCATTTCCCCCCTCTCATTTCCCTCTACTTTGCTTACAGTAGAAAACTACTTTGGTGGTTCATTCCTCTCTAGCCCCAAGAAAGAAGTTAGCATTTTTCCAAGTTTGTTTCTTTTGAAAAATATGTACCATTTTTGTAAATTTATCTTCACACGCCATTCTAATCTTCTCAGGAGTCAATGGACTATTCAATGTGAAAACTCCAGAAAATCCTCTTTCTTGTCGAGCTGCAAGTATTGCATCATGTAAGGCAAAAAACACAGAAGATCCCAGGAATAATGAAGCCTCACCCAGGCCCTTGGAGGAAAACAAATATAGTGGCTAAAAAAAAATCCAACTTTTTTTACTTATGCATTTTATTTATATTTAATTAATATTACCTATTATTTTAAAAAATGAGTTAATAGATGTAAAATGTTTTGCAAACCTTAGCCTGAAAAACAAATTTCAGCAATTATATTTCTTTCTTTGTAGTCTTTGTTGAGTACAAACCATTAGCAACTGAAAAGTAAACTTATTTGATAGGGTACTTCCCACCTAAAGAAGAAGCATTAATCTCCTCCCAGCAGAATGTAAACTTGAGGGCAAGGGAACTTTGTTTTTCTGGGGTTTCTTTTTTTATTCCCAGTACATATTATAATGCATCACAGATACTGGTTTAATATATACTTGCATTATATTGAATTGAATTCCCTCCTCAAATACTTTCCAGTGAAAAATTAATTCTTATCCAGTGTACCTTACCTTTGATGAATATATAGTGTGTGCAACTTCAGAAGCAGGCAAAAAGGACACATTGAACTCAGTAGGAACATCACAGAAGGAAGGAATTTTATACTGTTCTGGCCCCCGAGTGTAAAGGATTCCTTCAGGTGAGTATTTCAGTTCCTCTAATGTATAAAGACCCACACCTTGAATAAACGCACCTTCCACCTGATGTAAAAAAGTGATAAGGAATTAGTTTTTCCATATATAGTCAAATATCATCAGGTATGTTAAATCAAATGCTTTGCAACTTTAAGATAACATTTATTTTTTAAGTATTTTAAGCATTTTGCAGGGAACCACTTGCTCTTGGGTTATTAGCAACAATAAACTTAGAGTAAGAATATCTGGGTTCTAGTTCTGTCTCGGACATGAACTAGCTGTGTGATGGTAGGCTAGTCACCTTATTTTCTTGAGACTCAACTTCTCATTTGTAAAAATGGAGGAATTGTATCAAATGATCCCTAAGGTCCCTTCTGTTTCCATTCATCACAATTTCTTACCTTCATATAAGTATGGGACAGGGAATGGACTTGCGATTTGATTGGTATGGGGAGTTCTGGGGAGGAGAGTCCTTCTATCAATAGAGGTCATTGCCTTCTTTGCAATTTACAATCTTAAACACTTGGCCTAGAGCACTGAGTATTTAACTTATTTTTTACAGCCAATATATATCAGAAGTATAATTTGAACCCTGGTCTACCAGTCTTCAAGCATTTTTCTACCTATTTCATGCAGCCTTTAATGAGTTCCAAGGGGCAGGTAGGTGGCACAACGGATTTGAATTCAGGTCCTCCTGACTCCAGGGCCAGTGCTTTATCCACTGTACCACTTAGCTGCCCCTTATTTCCTTTTCTGATAGTGTTTCTAGACTGGTAAATATGTGAAGTGCCGCTTGGAGAGAATATAACTGGATTTTTAGAGAATCATTTTATAAAGTCTCTATTGATATTCATGTGGACAAAATGTAGAAATATGGGCTGAAAAATAACATGACTAAGTCAGTTTGGACCTGACTGAATTAATGGAGCTAAAAGGTTGCAATTAAGGGACTGATGTCAACTTGGAGGGAAGTCTCCAGTACAACATGTCAAGACTGTGTCCTTGATCTTGCTGTATTGAATATTTTTATTAATCACTTGGATGAAAATATGGAAGGCACTATTGGCAGTTCTCAGAGGGATAGCTACCACACTGGATGTATGAACCAGGATCTAAAAATATTTCAATAAGTTAGAAAAATAGTCTGATCTAAGGAGATGAAAATTATTAGATATAAATATAAAATCCTACAGGGATCCAAATATTAATTGCATAAGTACAGAATAGGGGAGATATGCTAGATGACAATTCATGTGAAAAATATCTAGAGGCTCCAATCAACTGCAAGATCAGTATGATTCAACAATGTGATGCGATAACCAAAAAAAAAAAAATCAGTATAATTTTAGGCTGTACTGGCAGAAGGCACTACCAGAATCAGTGATCAGACTACATCTCATCTGAAGTCCTCTGCTTTACTTAGGGCTTTAACAAGAGAAATGTATCCAGAGGAGAACAGTTCTAATGGTAAGATTAGAAGGCTCTCCATATGAGAAATGATTGAAGGAATTGAGGATGATTAGCCTACAGAAGGAAAGGCTAATAGGGAGACACAATAGCTTCTTATAGAAGAAACTTTCCAGATCATCTAGTCAAACCACTCAATTTAGAGACAAGGACTCTTTCCCTTGCCATATTCCATATCACAATTCATCCTGAGATGACAATAGGATTATTCTAAATATTATTAATATGGTCAGACCAATCTCCAGAAAGTATCACTTTCATAAGATTACTCCTCTGCTTAGAGGACACTGGTCTCCTGCTGAATAATAGATCAAGTCCAATCTCCTTTCCCTGGTTTTCAGATTGGTGTCTCCTCTAAGCTCCAGACCTGTTTCTCCACAAGCACATCTCACAGGCATCTCAAAAAAACCTATAGAAAAGTGAACTCCTTATCTTCTTCCTATACCTGTTCATCCCTTTTTTATCTTTTATTTTGAAGAAAGCCTAGTATAGTATATAGAGAGCCAGACTTTGACTCAGTAATAGTGTTCAAATCCACCTGACACACTAGCTATGTGATACTCGACAAGTCGCTTAATTAGTTAATCTCTTTAAGGTTCTGATTGTTAATCTATAAAAATTGGGGATACTAATAGCACCTACTTCAAAGGTTTTTTGTTGGGTTTTTTGGTGAGGATCAAATGACATATTGTACATAAAGCACTTTTAAACCTTAAAACACTATGTAAATGTTAGCTATTATTAACTTTGGTTACTACCTTTTGCTTAGTCCGACCCATGTTCAGAATCAGAATTCTTAGTCCTGTTATTTGTTTCCTGCATCTGGAATGCTCCTCCTGTTCCCTCCTCACTTACTGAATCCCTATCCATCATTTAAAAAGTCTATTTCAAACAGCATCCCTTTCCACGAAGTCCCCCCATTTCCCCTACATGATGGCAATATTTTCCATCAGACCTCATTCAGTACTCTGTTCTTAATTCTAAGGTGCACTTATCCTGTAACATCCTCCAGTATTTGCCAAGAAGTATGCTGTGGCCACTCTAATCAGATTAATCTAATCAGGAATGAGTGATAAAGAAAAAAAAAACTTAAGCACTAGCTATATGGCCAAGCACTGTGCTAAGCATGGGGAATGAAAATACAAGCAATAAAAGTCCCTGACCTCAGAGAGCTTATATTGCAATAGGGGAAGACAACAAATACAGAAGAGATGGGGGGAGGGTTACACATATGTTGGTATAGTTCGGGAATGGCCAAGAAATGACTTGGAAGCCTGGTTTCAGGGAAAGTAAGGCAAAAACAAAAACAAAAAAGAACAACAACAACAAACAAACAAAAACTGCCTGTTAGAGACCAGTATCTCAGGAGGAAGAGTACAAGATTCTGATATTATGAGGGAAATGAGGAGGCTGACCAGAGTGTAGGCAAGATAGTTGGAAATGCTCGTACATTTTTAACTTTCTTTACAACACTCATTCTATCCTCTGTGTCTTCATTTTTGCCCTTCTCATTGCCTGTTGTGCCATACCCTTTACCTAATTACAAGCCATCCTTTACAGCCCAATTCGTATTCTACTTCAGTATACCATGATGACTTCCCAAACTGAGCACGTAATGATTCCTTCGTTCTCTGAATTCCTTTAGCATTTGTTTGTATGACACAAGTTAAAAGGATATGATATACTCAGATACTGTTGTCTTACTGGTTCCTGTGTATTAGTCTAACCTCTCCAACTAGATTCTAAGACCTAAGTTCAATGTTTTAGTCTTTGAGAGCCTATGGCCAAAAAAACAAAAATCATCCTATGGACAAACTCATGATGATTTTTAGCTTAGAATACTTTAGAATACTCATACTTTTCTTGCCAACTGGGCATATAGTAGGCACATGACAGATGTTTAGTTGATTGATTTTGTAGCATTAGTGGCCTGAGAGAACCTTATACTTCAAATTCTATTCAGGAGTTGGGAACCTGTGGCCTCAAGGCCATGTGTGGTCCTCTAGGTCCTCAAGTGCTACCTTTGACTAAATCCAAACTTCACAGATCAAATCCCCTAAATAAAAGGATTTGTTCTATAAAATTTGAACTCATCCAAAAGGCCCCACTCAAGGGGCCTAGAAGGCTACATGTGGCCTTGAGGCTGCAGGCTCCCCACCCTGGATAAGCTTAATCTTTTCTCATACCCAAACTCCTTTAAAATAGCCTAAATATTTTCTGAACTGATACGTGATAATAGGAATTTTTTTTTTGCCCTGAAGGAATAAAGATTCCCCAGTATGAAGGAAGGATACCCTTACATAAAGGTGTGGCACATAAAAGTAATGAGTAAATATGTCCCCAGAAATCCCCACAGCATTGTTCCACTCCAATCTTTACTAAAAAGATGAATGTTAGAAATACAGAAAGATTGAAAAATGGTAACACTTACTTGACCTATATCAATAGCTGGATTGATACTGTGACCAACATCCATGACAATGTCTGTTCTTATGTTCTGTTAAAAAAATAAAAATAAAAGAAGGTCTATTTGTGCTTTCTGAAAACCAGTTCTAGGGAGAAGAAAAAGCTGCATCCTTGGCACTAATTCATTCCTGAGTGGTGCCACCACATCCCCATTTCTTTCAGGATCAAGGAGTGACAAAAGATTCTATTAAGTGAAAAGAGTTTTCAGAGTTATATCAACAAACTAACCAACCTAATAGCTTGGCCACTATTCTCTCTATAAGAAATAAGTAGTTAACAAAAAATATGACATGTCATAAATTATCAATTAAATAAGTTGATTCATCAAAAGACAAAAGAAATGACACAACAAACTAGAAACAGCTTATACTTTTCTATATTTTCTTATACCTTTATAACTATAGCAAGATAAGATAAGAAATAGTATTTGTATTCCTCCTGCTAATGAATTTTTTATAGAACTTGGTGTGCCATAGTAACAAGGGCAAGAAATATATTCATCTCTTATTTTAGGTTTTTATTTCCATAGTAGTGAAAGGGCTGAACCTCAAGGCTGGACCTTAGAAACCAGAACTTCTCTACTAATCTGCAAATGAAAAGCAGCGTATTGGGGTAGTCAGTCTCTCCCAAGAGCCCTGAGGATTCTCATCTCTCATGGGAACACAATTAGCTATAATAATTAATGGAAGGGAAAATATGAAAACTGAGGGATGCAATGTTTAAGGGCATGTCTTCATCTAGATCAGAAGTGCCAAATATGCAACCCACTATACTCCTGAGAAAGACCCCGGGCATGTATGGCATGGGAAGAGTTGAAGATCTAGAATAGGATATAGTTTCTATCTGATTTTAATGTGCTGAAAAATTAATTTTAAAATAGAAATATGTAAATAGGTGTCATTTTCAAAGTCAATATACAGCCCAAAGAGATCCATATACATATATATGTGTGTATGTATAGTTAAGTGTCCCCCATTTCTATTTGAGTTTGACAACATTAATCTAGATTATTGTCTTAAGAAAAAAATTAGTTGATAATACAGGATACTAATCCCACAGACTTGAAGCATTCATCTCACTTGTTCAACAGGATGGAGTAGTGGAAACAGCATTGAATTGAACTTTCTCTACCATATCCGGTGCCATTTGCCTTCATCTTTTCTCCCCTCCCTCCCCCCTTTTCAGCTTCTTTCTTCCTTTTATGTGTTTTCTTCCCCATTAGAATATAATCTCCTTGAAGACAGGGACAATTTTTATTTCTTGCATTTGTATAACCAGCACGTAGCACACTGCTTTATATATAACAGGTATCTAATAAGTGCTAATTGTCTTGGCTTATTAACTGGTCTGGGACTCAGAAGACTTGGCTTCCAGTCCCAACTTTTTTCACTAACTCATTGTGCGATCCTGACAAAGTCATGTCACTTCTCTGGAGCCTCTGTTTCCCGTTGGGGGAAACACAGTCAACCAAAATAGAGACTCCCAGAACTGGAAGAAAGATTACACAGCATCTAGTTTGACCTCTTATTTGTAGAAGGGGAAACAGAGGCTCCAGAGAAGTGACATGACTTTGTCAGGATCACACAATGAGTTAGTGAAAAAAGTTGGGACTGGAAGCCAAGTCTTCTGAGTCCCAGACCAGTTAATAAGCCAAGACTCCCAACCCCAGAAGAGATTGTTTCCCCACATGATGAGGAAACTTATGACCAGCCTAAAATATCATTTGAGAAAAACCCAGGAATTTTGTGTATTGGCAGAAGGTAGGGGGAAGGGGAGGTGGCAGAATAGAAGGGGACTCCTCTTGTATAATTTATGAAGCTATAAATATGCTATAATATTCAATGAAAAATTGTATGTGGTCCATTACATGAGTAAAGAAAGTCACTTATCTGACAAACAGAAAATAGACCTCTCGGCTGACACAATAAATTTGGATTGACGTCCTGAGACTGATTTGGCAGACTATTAAGAATGCTCTATTATTATTTTTCACATAAGAGCTTAGAATCACTGGTCACCCTGGTCTGATAACACCAACAAATATACTTGATAACATTTTTTGGGTTACATATTCGTAAATGGCTTAAAAATTCTTGTTTGAACTTATCCCTCACAACTCTGAGATTCCATGATTTTGACACATAAGACTGGCATTGCCTGCTTTAAGGGAGGGATGGAATTCAGCTTGTAATTTAGGCCTAGGTTGGAGACTGTATAAGGAAGCAGTTACCTTATGATCTCCTGTCAGACAATCGACTTCAACTTCTGAACAGGCAGCTCCATATACATAGTAGGCAAATGGCTGACCTTCTCCTTTTTCCCAGTCCATGTCAGACTCATAGCCCCTGTTGGAAATGTAGGTTTGTTTTTTTTTTTTAAGCATCTTGCAAGGGTAGATTTAAGTGGTGGTAAAAGCAACTATGCTTAGAAGTAGAGTTCAGCTCTGTCACTTAGCTGAGTGACGATTTGTTGGCATTCGGTCATTTCAATTGTGTCCAACTCCTTGTAACCCCATTTGGGTTTTTTTTTGGCAGAGATACTGGAGTGGTTTGCCATTTCCTTCTCCAGCTTATTTTATAAAACTGAGGCAAACAGGGTTAAATGACTTGCCCAGGGTTACACAGCTAGTAGGTGTCTGAGGCCAGATTTGAACTCACATCTTCCTGACTACAAGCCAGGCACTCTATCCACTGTACCACCTACTGGCCTGAGTGATGACACATCAATCACTTAACTTGTCTGGACCTGACTCTTAACCCCTTTTCCTCATTTGCCTCCTCAGTTTCCTCATCTGTAAACTACGGACATAGTACTTGCATTAACTGCTTTAGAGAGTGGTCATGAGAAGGCCACTTTGTAACTATAAAATATATAAAAGTGGACTATTATAAGTAGTCAGTTTTTATTATAGTAAAAATTCTGGTTGGATTTTATTTCACAGCTTTTATAAGCTGTGTTTAAAACAAAAGACCCAGAAAATAACCAGATCACTGAAAGATTCACCAGATTGTTTAGACCATTGAAAGACAGAAATCTTGCATAATATATAACTATCATTTCACTGATCTAAAGGGGCATTTCCATGCCACTACAACACACACACACACACACACACACACACACACACACACACACACACCCTTCTTGTTTTGGGCTCTTATTTCAAACCCCTGAAATAGTCTTAAACAAATGCTCTAGGTCATTATGAATGTTTTTCCAAAAGTATTCCCCTCCCAAGAAGAATTTTGCCTACCCTGGAGCTTAATCTAATGTGAAAGTCTCAATACTTGCTTTTTCTGATAAATGCTCAAAGCCATTCATACCTTCTAGACCAGAAGGGTCAAACACATGGTTCAAAACACTCTTGAGGGGCAGCTAGGTGGTACAATGGATAGAGCACCCGCCCTGGAGTCAGGAGGACCTGAGTTCAAATTTGGCCTCAGACACATAACACTTACTAGCTGTGTGACTTTGGGCAAGTAACTTAACCCCGATTGCCTCACAAAAAAAGAAAAAAAACACTTGAATGTAGCTTGAACCAGATTAAAATGTAATTGGAAAATATTTAACAGAATAACAATGTAACAAAACATAGGTAATGTTAATATCTGGTTTTCTAAATCAATATATGCCCATAGGGATTCATATATTTGATTCAAGAGCCCCCATTTCTTTCAGAGTTTAACACCTCCGTTCTAGACTAACACTAGGCCACTAGGAGACAATTTAAGAAGCTTACATCCAAATCTCTTGCTCTCACTTGCCAAGCCCTAGACTCCTATGATTTATATCTATAATGCTCTAATGGCACCATTCTCTCCATAACTCTCTATCATTAACCTGGACTTCCATTTTCAGATCAGACAATCTGCATCAATTCCTTGTGTACCTCTTAGTGTTTCAGTGTTAGAGACATTTTGAGAGTAGGGAGAAGGGCAGGGACAGCTAAGGTCAGTAATTAGCACAAATTCTTCCCTTCTTTCTCTATGTTTACCTAGGCTGGACACGAAAGGCTTCCAAGTATTTGTTCTAGAAAACTCCTCAGGAATGATGAACGTTTATTTTAAAGTGATAAGAACAATGAGATGCAGCTGTCCTGACCTTTCAGGAACTTTTGCTGGATATTTCTGGTAAACTTTTATTTTTGTTGCAATATTAGCTATTCGACTACAAGTTCTCCCATGAACCTATCCAGCCATTGGTACTTTTAAATAGGAAACAGAAGTTCAATGTTAGTGGTCTATACTACCAGAAAATATAAAATACCTTTTGTCAAAACTCTAAACAGAGCCAAAAGTTTCCCTTGGTTCCACTATTTTTTAAAGGTGTGTTTTTAAAAAGCATTTTTATTCTATTTCTTTGAAATACTCTACATTAGACTTTATCTTTGAAAGTCTTCCTTTTCTCACTTTAACAGTGAGATGGCATGGTCTCACCTCAAATTTTAACAATTCCATGAGACTGAATGGGCTTTTTTACCTGAAATATCCAGTTGCTGAAAGACTAATGCTTTGATCAAAAGCTTCTGTTGCCTGCAAAAGAGGAGCATATTCTCTCATATGATACGGTCTAAAAGAAATGCATTTAAAAAAAAAAACTAAATACAACATTTCATCTATGTTTTCATTTTTAATTTTATTCTAAATTAAGTAATCCTCTTTCTGGTCAGTAACTGTTACTTCTTATTACAAATTAAATTAACAAACTGCAAGCACATGCAGAACAATTTTCTTTTCCAGTTACAGCACTAGCACTTCCCCTATTCTTAGAGTCCAAGTATTCTACATCTTAGTCTTTCAGAGCTTCAATAGCCAAAAAATCCATTTGCCCTCTGGACAAATTGGTGGTGATTTTTAAATTTGGACTATTTATATTCACATGGATCTTTAACCTCTTCAGTGTAGCTCACAACCCATACAAGGATAATGGGACAACCAACCCACGCAGCTCTTGGCCATAAGTTTGCCATTGTTGAGAGGGGTTCTGCCCCTATGCTGGAGACCTTCCTCATTTTCTCCTGACATTGTGAGGGTACCAATAGAGTACTGGTGGCTGGCCATCTGCCATCTTTCACCTTTTCCATATGGACAGCCCATCTTCTCTTCCTATAATATAATTATCTAATTACCTCATGAATAGTTTATAACAAGCTTAAAATAATTTTAAAGATTTTGCAGCAATGTTGTTTTTCCTTCTTTCCCATTTTTTGGGGAGAGAAGAAGGCTAGCAATACTGTTGCCAAAAAAAGTAAAAGAAAAGAAGGTCCCTGAAGCATTTTTAAAAGTATAGAATGGATAGAAGAAACTTCATAAGGAAACACAGATGAGCATGACAGCTTTGAAAGTAATATTTTGAATTTATTATATACTTAAAAGGAAAAGTAACTTGTATATAATGGAAATTTCTGGTTTTATGTTTAATTTTCATCATCTGCTCTACTTTGTTTATAGAAATGTTTATTTACTTGACATTTGTTTAGAATCAAAAAAAATGTTAAAGAATCTGTTGCAGACATTTATAGTATCTGTAAATGAGTTTTTCGTTTCAATATTGTGGATGTACCAATACTAAAAAGGAAAAACAAGAACATAAAAGGAGAATTCCATCAGATTCTATCAGTAGCATTGAATATCCCCCTGCATGTAATGTGTGCACTGCACTCCCTGCAGAGATAGGACAAGGTATTTTGCTCCTCAGGCAAATTGAAAAATTCTATTCCTTGTGTGTCATCAGTTAAGTCATCCCTGTAACATATGTGATGACTCACCACAAAATAAATACCTGCATGTCATGGACAATGAATTTTCTGACATGTAAAATTTGTATACACACTAAAGGTAAAATAGAATTGTTCCTAGTCATACATCCCTGTGTACTATGCCCTGGCCAAGAAAAGAATATTTGGAATCCCAGTGTGTACTTCAAAACCTGCCTCAGTAGCTTGTCAACTGTGTGACCTTCAGCAAGTCATTTTCTCTAGGCCTCAGTTTCCTCATCTGTATAATACACAGATTGGTCTAGATGATTTCTTGTGTCAGTCCATGGTCTATGATGATCAACTGAAGGAACTGGGGATGTTTGTCAGGAAGATGAGAACTGTCAGGGAGGACATCATCACTAAGTTTTAGTATTTAAAGAACTGGTACAAGAAGAGTTAGACTTGTTCTGCTTTGTAATAACCAAGAACAACAGGTTGAGCTTACACAGAGGCAAAGTTAAGTTTGATGTCAAGGAAAATTCCAAGTAACCAAAATTATTCCAAAGTAGAATGGGCAGCCCCCAAAGGCCATGAATGCCCCTTCCCTGTAGGCCTTCAAATAGAGGCTGAACAGTCACTTATGAGATCCATTGCGGTGAGGAGGGCTGCTGAGGTCCCTTACAACTCTAAACACCTGGGTTCTGTGACCCAATCAAAGTTCATGGTTCAGGATAGGAAAATCTTACCTCACAGAATAATCCTGAGGAACCTCCTCTTCCAGTTGCCAAGAACATATGGAATTTACTCATTTCCTAGATCCTTTCTTTATCACTTTAACAATAGAATACTAAGTTTTCCACTAACGGCTCTTTAAACAAAATGCTTGAGAATCTCAAAATGACCCGCTAAACTTATCAAAATCCAACCCCAAACTTCCCTTTATTCTGTCTATTTCCTCCTCACTGATGATTCAGTTTACCATGGTGGCACCTTTCAGAACCCTTTATCAAAGCTGTTTGATTTATAAGTATCTTATTAAGTACTTTCTTTGTGGTAAGAACTGCCTCTTACTCTTTCACGTAAAAACCCTTACCCAGTCCTTCCATGTGCCATGAGGGTTTTTGCTAATGATGGGTTCCAGACGTTTTCGAAGAATTTGACAAGCATCCTATAATTGATGAAAAAAATTAAAATTATGCTAGTAATGTTGTGAAGGAAATAGTAGCTTTGTTAAATAAAATTAATACATATGCACTTGAGACAGAAAGTGGTCCAAAATTAAAAAAAAAAATTTAAAGTTCAATTAGGTGCAAACCACTAAATAAACCTGCAAATTGATTCACTGTCATTAATGCCTATGGATTTATAAGAGTGCATATATAAACTCTCTAAAGGTAATGGCTCATTTTAGTTCTTCCAGTGCCTAAATAGGGCTTTGTACCCCCCAGGTGCTAAATAAATGTTTGTTCAATGAATGAGCTATATTTGTTCTTGCAACTTGTTTATTTTTAAGAACAATCTACTACTAATTCTGACAAGAGTAGAAGCAGACTTACAGGTTGGTATGAGTCAGCAGCATGGTGTGATTGTTACATAAGCTAATATAATGCTCAGACATGTACATGCCTTAGAGGAAGCAGGGGCCAGACCAAGGAATTCAGCTCATCCTGGAATTAATTAAAAGCTACTCCATAAACTATATATTACAATGAATCACTTGAGGCTTGAGCAGTTGGCCAGGATATGTGGACAAAAGTGAGAGAAGCTTAATTCAAGGCAGAATAATAATCCTCTTTGGAGGCTGGACTTTCTATGGAGCTGGTCTTTGCATGAAAGCTAAGAGGTTTAGCTGAGAATGGAGGAGATACCGAGTGACTTACTCAAATGGGCTGTACTTTTCCTACAGCATCCTGTAGGATTTTTTATTTACCTGAGACACGCTGATCTCAAAACCGTAGTTGGTTTAGTTGAACCCTCCAGGAGAAGTGTCTATGTAAAAATAAGGTGGGGGAGATCCAGCTCCAATTCAATTAATATGACAAATATTTATTAAGCACCTGATATATATGCAAGGGATTACATTACTACTGGAAAGAGGAAAATCAAGTCCACCTTTCTAACCTTATTGCCCTCTGCTCTTCAACATGGAACTTCCCTCCTTCAATCAGATTCATCATCTCACTGCCTTCAAATTCATTTTGCATATTCTAATCTCTCTGTCTTTACTCATATAGGAAATATCCCACAGCTTGGAATGCCCAACCCTCTTCTTTCCATCTCTCTATATCCTATAAATCCTATAGGCAGCATAGGAGGGGAAAAAACATTGATTACGGTTAGAGGACTTGGGTTCAAATTTGGACTTCGAGACTTACTTTTTTTATCTTAGGCAAGTCATTTAACTTTCTCAGACCTCAATTTCCTCATTTAGAAAATAGAGGGAAGGGGGGCAGCTAGGTGGCACAGTGGATGGAGTACCAGCCTTGAAGTCAGGAGGACCTGAGTTCAAATCCAGCCTCAGACCAAACACTTAACACTTATTAGCTGTGTGACCCTAGGCAAGTCACTTAACTCCAATTGCTTAAGGAAAAAAAAAGAAAGAAAGAAGCGGAGGTGGGGGGGAGTCACACTAGATGATTTCTAAGGTCTTTTCTTGCCCTAGATATATGATTATATAATCCTACTTCACTTCCCCTACCACTGACAGGCTGCACTGGGAGTTCCCACAATGGCAGTTCCCCATGCTGACAAAATCATAGATTCTTTTGTTTTCTCTTCTTTACTGAAGTGGAAACTGAAGTTAAATAACGTGTCTATGCCTACGTGACTAATTAGTATCAGAGGCAGAATTTGAATCCAGGTCTTCCTTAGTCCAAATTCAACACTTTATCCAATATACTAGATTGTAAGCTTCTAGAAGATAGGAAAGATCTCTTAGACTTCTTTGAAATCCTCTCCCTTCCTTCCTCCCAATACCTTGAACAAGTTAGGTGCTTCATAAATATTTGAACGATTTTCCATTCTCATTTCTGAATATTTCTTGATTTACTTGGCTTCACTTATATAATGCATGTCCCAAAGTCTTAGTGTAGTTTTAAACTTTCATCGTTTAAATTTATTAAAAATGTAAGCTTTAATAGCTTAAAACTGCACTAAGACTTTAGAGACATTCTTTATTTAGTCATGGAAGAAATTAGTGCTCTGATTTTACCTTCACTGCCATGCCATTAAGATCTGCCACCACGGATCCTGCTGAGACATTTGTATTAGGGACCGTCTCAGTACTTGTTCCACGCAAGTGAATATTGGCCATCGGCATCCCTAACTCACGACTGACAACCTAACAAAGAGAATAAGCTCTTATTAACCCATGTTCAATTCAATTAAAAAGACATTAAACACCTACTATTTGTAGGCTTCTGTGCTAGAAGCTTGGAATGCAACACAGACCCCGCTCTTTAGGCAGTTTACAATCTAATAATATAACAATAATGAAGATGACAATAGCTGACATAGTTTAAATACTTTTATTTAGACAGCCGAGTAAATAACATTATATGACCTGATACAAATCTGAGAAAAGACAACTTTTTATATCACAAATCTGCTTATGTTTGAAAATATTTTGCCCATTCCTATTTATTTTAAATGTGTCATACATATGTATATATTATATATATATATAAAATATATATATGCACATATATATATATATACACACACACAAAAATGTGTGTACACATATGTGTATCAGTAAGTGAAGAATGGGAAAACTATTTGATTGGTCTGGGACAGGGGTGGGTGGGGAACCTTTGGCCTTCAGGCCACACGTGGCCTTCTACATTATTAAACATGGCCTTTTGACTGAATCCAAGTTTTACAGAACAAAAACTGTACTGTACACACACACACACACACACACACACACACACACACACACACACACACAGATGTTTGAATACAAATTGAAATAAGGAAATGTTTAGCAGTATCAAAAAATGCAGAAAGGTCCAAGTGTATGAAGACCAAAAGACCACCTGACTTAGAAGTTAGGAGATTATTGATAACCTTGGAAAGAGCAGTCTTAGGCAAGTGGTGGCATGGGAAGCCAGCTTGAAAAGGTTAAGAAATGAGTAAGAGTGGTGAGAAAGGGAAAGTGGTGAGGGAACATGATTCTTTTTAAGAGTTTGGCAATTAAAGGGAGAGAAGATATAGGATGATAGCTAGAGAAAATGGCAGGCTTCGATCAAGCATGTCTGTGGCTGAGGTAGAGTGAAGTTGTGGCTATTGAGAACTGAGGAGGCAGATACATTGGGAAGCCAGACTGTTTTGGGGGGGCATCAGTGTACATGGTGAAGTCCTCTCACCCTCTCTGGTCTCCTCTAAGATCCTGCCCCATTAATCATTCCCTCTCTTTCTCTCATCTATAATGAAAAGACTATGATTGCAGCCTCAGCTCTGATAAATTACATAACCTCTGAAAACCTTAGTTTCTTCATCTGACAAATGATGATTTATCTGTTTACACTCTAAAGAGTTTAGAAATTATATTAATATCTTTAGAGATTAAACGAATTTGTCAGATGAGTCCTAAAGTACAATAATAGTTGAATTTACCTAATACTTTAAGGTTTGCAAAGTTTTTTTACTGACATTCATTTAATTCCCAAAGCAGTTTTATGAGGTAGTTGCTTTTCTCATCCCTGTTTACAGATGCACACATTAAGGCTTATGGAGGTTGTGACATCTCCACGCTCATATAGCCACTAAATGTCTGAAACAGGATTTAAACCCAGGCCTTCTAAGTCCAGGGCTCTGTCAGGATTACATAGGCCAAAAATAATTTGTCAGATGAGGAAACCAAAGTTTAAAGACGTTAAATAATTTATCCAAGGAACCTGGGCTGAAACCCCAGTCTTGATTCAATAGGAGAGTAAGGGAAGGATCCTGAAGAAGTAAAGCATCACTTTAAAGGAAATGGGTAGAGAGAGTTGGCAAGGAGAATGGCCATCTCTTCCTCCAAGAAAGAAGTAAAAGAATAGAAGGGTCCTGAAGTGTAGAGTAGAGGGGCTTAGTTCCTTCATCTAACAAATGATGTTTGGTCTGTATAATCTCTAAATTTCCTTAATGCCATGGACAGATATTTTCCCCTATGCCTCAGCTTGACAAAAACATCCCTTCAAAAGCTTCCAATTACTTTGCTCTCATTTTATACCCCCAGAGTCATATTTTGAATCATAATTTAGATTTTTGTCCTTGGAGATTACTATTTTCAGTTTTCAGGCCAAATATTTTTCTGGTTGCAAAATTCACAATTTGGGATTTGGGCTCAAAAGGCAGTCTCTTCTGAATTCAATTCAATGAAGTATGTTAGCTGCTTTCAAACCTTGGCCATCTACAAAAAGTTATTCCTGATCCCCCTAGTTGTTAGTGCTTTCTTCCTCAAATTATTCTATTTACTTATATGTGTAAATGTATGAGGGCAGGGTCTGGTTTTCTTTGTTTTTTTCGTTGCACCCCAACAACTAGAACAATGCCTTATGTACAGTAGGTTACAGGCTCATATTATTTAGGTCCAGGAAAGACCTCCGAGGCCATCTTTTCCAACCCCTCACTTAACAATGAGGAAACTGAGGCCCAGAAGGAAAAAATAATTTGCCCAAAGGAAGCCAAGACCTTTCAGCATTTGCACTGGGGTCCTCTGACTCCAAAATCATTGCTACTTCTACTTGAAATATTCTCCTTTTCTTTTTAATATAAAGGTGTTTGATAACTGTTTGTTGAATTTAATTGTTTATCCCTCTACCTTAATACCCTAAAGTATTGATTTATTAAAATAAAAATACAAAAATATAACTGCTTTCCTTTTATTTTTCCCTCTCTGCACACACACACACACACACACACACACACACACACATATACACACACACACAGTTTATTTGTTCTTACCTGAATCATTTTGGTGTGAACCCCCTGCCCCATTTCAATGCCAGAATGAGTCACTAGCACAGATCCATCCAGATAGATGTGAACTAGAGCACCTGCCTAAGGAGAAAAAACAAAATCTGGTTTGGTAGTGCTTTTGACTAATGTTATAATTACACAATCATTCATTTAAAACAATTTTTCTTTTTTTTTTGGTGAGGCAATTGGGGTTAAGTGACTTGCCCAGGGTCACACAGCTAGTAATTGTCAAGTGTCTGGTCTGAGACTGGATTTGAACTCAGGTCCTCCTGACTCCAGGGCTGGTGCTTTATCTATTGTACCACCTAGCTGCCCCAAAACAGTTTTCAAGAGAAAAATCTGCACACGTACAGTTTGGCCTCTGGCAAGATGTCACATATGGAACAGAATCCTAACTCTCTTTAGTGTATGACTCAGGTATCAGCATAAAGCTTTCACATTCAATCCAACCGCACCCACCACTTAGCCTTTATCCCAATAATGCAGCCATCAAGGATTCAGGCTCCACTAAATTTTGGCCACACCTGCATAATCCTTGGGTGGCATATTAGGCAGATACTTAACTAAGCCATTTTACTGGGATGTGGTCACTACTGCAGAGCTTTTCAGGGCTGCTTATGTAGAAAAATAGATAGGAGGTACTAGTCTAATAGCTACATGGTAAGTTAAAGCAAAATAATCATAGGGTAGATGTTAGGAAAAATTTTCATTCCTTTTCTCCATTTTTTTAGGCAATTGAAGTTAAGTGACTTGCCCAGGGCCACACAGTTAGTTAAGTGTCACGTGTTTGGTCTGAGGCCAAATTTGAGCTCAGGTCCTCCTGACTTCAGGGCTGGTGCTCTATTCACCGCACCACCTAGCTGCCCCCGAAAAAGCTTCATTCTAATAGTACTGAATTGGAAATACTTCAAGTGGATCACCCATATAGGACTCAAAGAACAAAAAATTATGATAGAGAAAATTTTTAAATCCAGTTTTCCAGAACTACCAGAGAAAAGGAATAAGATAAAATATGAAATTCACTTCTGGAAAAAATTCAGTTCTCTATAATATAGTTCATGCTTACTTCCCTTCTCAAGGTATCAGTTTCTTCTTCCCTAAGCTCAGAGTTTTCGACCAAATGATCTCTGTGATCCCTTCTAAGTCTGACAGAAAAGCATAGTTGGGTGGCTCTGATCCCAGGACCAGAGGAAGGATTCAGTTCTAGCCTCTAATTCAGTGTAGATACCTACAATGAAATAACCAGGGCAATTGTCCCAGACCAAAGAGGAACCTGCATGCAGTTCAATTATTCTGAATTTGCAGAACTCCTTTTAAAAATCTATATGCAAAGCCTCAAAGAAAAACACAACTTGAACACAAGTTAACAAGAATTCCTTGAAGAGTTAGAGCAACAGGTTGTTTTGTTTTGGCTTGGTTTTTAGGAGCTAAAAATAATTTTAAAATAAAATGATAGCAGTATAGGAAAACACAGGAAAGGAAACTACAGCAAAAGATATGGGGGAAAAAATTAGCAGATTAAAACAAGAGGCACAAAAACTTACCAAAGAAAATAAATTCTTGAAATGGATTGTTGGCCAAATGGAAACTGATTCCATGAGACATCAAGAAATAGTAAAATGAAGTCCCAAGAAAGAGGGAATAGAAAGATATGTAGAGTATCTGATAGGAAAAACAATTGTACTGGAAAAGAGATTGAGAAGAGAGAACTTAAGAATCATTGAACTACCTGAAAGTCATGGGGGAGAGAGGGGAGAGGAATAGCCTATATATCATATTTCAAGACATTATAAAAGAAAACTGCCCATATATCTTAGAACCAGGGGGTAAAGTAAAAATTAAAGAATCCACTGGTTACCTCCTGAAAAAATTACAGTAAACCAGAGAAAAAGAATTCAAGTTCAGAAAAAATCACATTTGGGATTATACACAATTTAGCAGATGGCATTTAAAGGAGCAGAAACATTGGGATAGGATATTCCAAAAAGATCTAGGTTTAAAAACAAGAATAACTTATACAGCAAAACTAAAGATAATTATATAGGGGGAAAATGGATCTTTAATGAAATAAAAGACTTTCAAGTATTGCTGATAAAAAGGACAAGACTGAGTAGAAACTTTTATATACGAAGAGTCAAGAAAGTCATAAAAAAGTAAACATGAGTGAAAAATTATAAGAGACTGAAAAAGGCAAAACTGTACATTCTTATATGGGGACATGACACATGTAGCCCTTCAGTACACTATCATCCTTAAGAGCAATAGAAGGAATCTAATTAGATAGAAAGTCTGGGTACTATTCTATTATGTTTGGATGATCTCTTTTTAAAAAAAAGAATGGAAAGAATAGGGAAGAGTAAAACACTGAGATGGTGGAAAGAAAAGGAAAAATGGGAAAAATTATCTAACATAAATGGAGTATATAAGTAGAAATCTGCATTACAAGGAGGAGACAACAAGATGGGTAAAAGGTAACACTAGAACCTACATCTCTTCTGTACTAATTAAAGGAGGGAATTACACACACACACACATGCACACCCTGGGTAGAATTACATCTTACTCCACGGGGAAATTGGAGGGAAAGAGGTTAAGAGAAAGAAGGTGAATAAGGCAGATCAAGCATTAGCCAGAATCAAAACAAACTTTTAAGCAGAGTGTGGGGAAAAAAGAGAAAGAAGTATAATCAAATAGAATGTAGGAAAATATACAATTAGTCATCATAAGTATAAGTATTAATGGTATGAACTCACCTATAAAATTGAAAAGGATTAGTAGAATGGATTAGAAACCAGAATCCAACAATACATTGTTTAAAAGAAACACACTTGAAACAAAAAAGATATACAAAGAATAAACTAAGAAGGTAGGACAAAATCTACTATACCTCAGCTAAAAAAAATTTAGATATGATAAACCTCTGGAGAGCACTGAATAGGGATAGAACAAAATACACATATTTGTTAGCTGTTCATGGAAACTTCACAAAAATTGCTCATGGATTAGGGCATACATAAACAAACGCCCCAAAAAAGGAATACTAAATGTATTTTTTGCCAACCATATTCTAATAAGGATACATTCAATAAAAGGCCTTTGAAGCAAAGAATAAAAATTAATGGAAGCTAAATAACTTAATTCTAAAGAAGGGGGACATCAAAGACCAAGTCATAGAAACAATCAATAATTTCAATAAAAATAATGACAAAAATGAGACAGCATACCAAAATTTGTGTGAGGCAGCCAAGTCACTACTTAGGGAAATTGTTATATCTCTAAATGTGTTCATCAGTAAAAGAGATAGAGGAAATCAATGAACTTAGCATGCAATCAAAAAAGAAAACTAACAGATTTAAACCCCCCAATTAAATATTAAAATAGAAATTCTGAAAGTTAAAGGAAAGATGAACCAAATTGAAAGCAAAATAAAAACTAAATAAATAATACTAGGAGTTGTTTAGGGGTGGGCAGTGGAATTAAAAAGATACTCCATTAGCTAATTTCATTTTTAAAAAGAAAGAAAGCATATTGACAACATCTAAAATGAAAAACAAAAATGAATTAACAGACAATGAAAAGAAGAAATAAAATCAATTATTAAGAGCTATTTTGGCCAACAATATTCTGATAAAACTAACATTCTAAATAAAATGGATGAATATTTACAAAAATACAAATTGCCCAGATTAACAGAATAGAAAACAGAGTACTTAAATAACCCTATCTTAGAAAAAAGAAATCGGACAAGCCATAAATTATCTCCGAAGGAAAAAAAGAACAACTGAGGACCAGATAAATTTATAAGTGAATTCTGACAAATGTTTAAAGAACAATTAGTTTGAATACTACATAAACAGTTTGAAAAAATCATTAAAGAATATGTTCTACCAAATTCCTTCTATGACACAAATATGGTCTTGATATTTTAACCAGGGAGAGTCAACACAGAAAAATAAGCCGCATACCAGTATTTCCAATTAATATTGATCCAAAAAAATTTAATCAAATATTAGCAAGCAGACTACAGCAATATGTCACAAAGATCATATAATATAACTTGGCTGAATTTACAGTAGGAATGCAAAGCTGGTTCAGTATTAGAAAAACTACAAACATAATTGACCATATTAATAACAAAGCCAACAAAAATTATATAATTTTATCAATAGATACAGAAAAGACTTTTTGACAAGATACAACACCCATTCCTGCTTTAAAACAAAACAAAACACTAGAAAGCATGAAGTTTTCTTCAAATGATAAATAATATTTATCCAAACCAAAAACTATTATAATCTGTTATGGGAATAATATAGAAGCCAAGCATGTGTACAAATATGTATGTATATATGAATATATATCTATATGTGTATAGGTTTTTATGTGCATATATGTTTGTATGTGTATATTCAAACACATACATACATACACAGACAGCCGGCCTAGAGGAAAATATAATTTTGTTTTTAACCAAAGCTATATTTTCTTTGTTTTTACTAAAACTATATTTTCTACCAGCTTAACTTTCACATTAAGAAAAGGAGCATTCTTTGGCAGCCTGTATGGCAAACTTACCTGACCAGCAGCAAGTGAGCCAAGACCAATAGGATATTTCAATGGAATAAGTGCAATCCCTTTCTTTTTCCAATAATTCTTCCTGTTAAAATCTTCTACCATTGCTTTCCTTGCATAGTATGAGGACATTGCCATGCATTCATTCCAACATTTTAGTAGGTTGCTTGCATTAATCTTCTGTTTGTAGTGTGTTTCATCTATTTCTTTGTACATATTTATAATTCTCACCTTAAAAAGAAATTTTAAAACATGATACATACTATAGTCTCTCTCCTACTCTTGTCTATCACTCTCAATCCTACTCATGCTTTAAGGCCCAACTCAAATCTTCTACCTTCCATGAGCTTTCCTGTATTGCTCTAGCCAACAGTATTTTTCTGCCTATCAAAAGCCTCTTCCACTGAAACCTATTTAGGACCCTAAGTTCATAGGACCATAGACAGAGAGTTGAAAGTCCAATCTGTTCATTTTACAAATAAAGAAATTAGTCTAAAGGAAAGCTGCAGATTAAGACAAGGTAACTAACCATCAGAAGGCAATAAACATCAAAAGTAGGATATGAACCCTGTAACTTTGCCTGACTGATTCTATTAGACATAGACCAAGAACTAATCTAACACCAAAATCAGGCAGGATCGAGCTGACTCTGAGGACTGGCTCTGGAAGAAGTAGGTTGCCAGCCAGAGAAAATCAAGAACAATGAAGAGGCAGATCTGGTTCTTGTGCCTAAAGGACCATAACTGATAAGACCTTTGTCAACCTGTCTTTTCCCCTTTTGGTGTTATTCCATCCTTTCCCTGGTATGCTTATAACTAACCCATTGAACACTTAAAAGAAAGCTTAAATGCTATTGTCTCGAAGCAGAAAAATGGAAAACTTGTGTCTCCTCCTGCAGGCTAAACTGAATGATGGAGAACCTGGTTGATAATGAGGAGGTGGCTTTGACTAGTAATCAAAAGGGATCATTAGCCATGGAAGAAAAGGATGTGGTCACAAGGGGTGCAGTAGGCTCATGCCTATAAGTAAGGACTTCTCCCTTTCTGGGCCTTATTTTCCTCATCTATAAAATAGCTTAATTGGGCTATATAATCTATGGAATTTTTTTTCTGTTCTGATATTCTGTGCATTTTCTATTATATGATAATTTAGTTACCCTCTCTGGTGGCAAACCACTTTGGGCTGCAACTTTTGTTATGCATGATTCTGTAATCAGTGCTGCTTGGGGAAAGCCAAATCCACGGAAAGCAGTACTAGAAGGAAGATTAGTTTTGCAAACAAGGCCTCGACAACGTAAGTTTGGGATCTTGTAAGCATTGTCCAACTTTAGGAGACCAAACTGTGTTACCTGTAGGAATCAATCAGACAATCAATCAGCAAGCATTTTTAAGCACCTGCTTAAAAAAAATGCTTACCCTTCAAATGCCCATATGTCAAGCACTGTGCTAGGTACTGGAATAAAAGAAATCACTGATGTGATTGTAAATACTTGCCCTTCCTACTCCCTGTTTCTGTTCTTCCATACTTGAGACAAAAAGTAGTCCCATAATGGGTATCAAAAGTGGATGTTTGAGAAACTTTTGATTCTGACACTTGTATTCAGATGATAGACAATCAGTGTCTGAAGGCAGAGGGCAAAAAACAGCTCAAAGATCTTCTGATCTCACCAGGTACAAATAATCAATAACCCATATTTATTACACTTTATTATTACAAAATGTTTACATATATTGTCTCATGTGTTTCTCGCAAAAGTCATGCTGATTACTGAAACTGTTGTTATCCCCATTTTTACAGACTTTGAAGTAGATTTAGAGTGAAGTGACCTGCTCTAGATCTAGACCTAGCTTGGACAGTGAAGCAAAGTTGGGAATCCAATCTAGGTCTTCTGATTCATATTCAGTGGTTTTTCTACTGCCTCATACTGTTTCTCCACCAACAGTTTCTTACATAAAGAATATGCATTTCTATTGTCATATAGCTTACAGTAAGCCTGGTGTAGTAGATGGAAAGCTGGTCTCCACTCCTGGAAGACAACACTAAGGACTTACCTGTAATACTTACTGACTGCCCTACCTTAGGCAAATCGCTTAGCCTTTCAGTGCTCTAGGCATTTCTTTTACAAGACGATAATTTGCAAAGAAGGTGACAACTGCATTAGTTAAGAAAGTTGCCTCCTCTGAAAGTTTCTTATACCAATGAAATCACAGGCCTATTGTAGCACTAGAAGCAATAGTCTCTTTATGCTTATTACATAAACAAAATTTATAATTCACTTTTGTAATTCCATAATTTAAATACTTGAATGTATGGTTATTCATTAATACTTACAAGTAGAGATGCATCCAATGTGAAGCCAGCATTAGCATAATGTACAACATCCAGGGCCATAATTCTACCATCATTCATGAATCCTACCTAAAGAATAGAACTGCATCTTTAGAGACCAAAAGAAGAAAATATTTCCTTTAAATTTTAATTAACTATTTCTAAAGGCAAAGCAGGTTATTATTCTCTTGTATGGATATAGAGTCTACTTACATGTACCCTTGAAAGTAGAACATTCTTGTTTTTTTCCCCTGTTGTCATCTGACCTCTAGCAATAATTTATGGTAATGGACAATAGTACAGAAAGATATGAAACAAAATGAAAATACCTGTGCATAATGTATCGTGTAGCTGTGGAAATTACAAGTCTAGAAGGTATCCCTCTACCTGTAGCCTAAGTCCCATCCCCTCTTGAAAACTTGTTTCCATTTTCAACTCTTTTCACTCCAGTATCTTCATTTTCTCATTTTCCTCTGGTTCTTTCTACCTCCAAACACATTCTTCTCTACTTATCTTAAAAACCCTTTGTTTAGCCCCAATCTTTTTTTTCCTTTCTTTCACAGCCAGATTTCTTCAACAAATGATCTATCACTTATTCTTTTTTGTATCCACTTACAATCTGGCCTCTGTCCAAACTATACTACTGAAACTGTTCTCTCAAAAGGTGCCAGTGTGATCTTGGAATCTATTAATCTAATGACTTTTCCTCAATGCTATGAAGTTTGGATTCAGTCAAAGGGCCATATTTGAGGACCTAGAGGGCCACATGTGGCCTCGAGGTCACAGGTTCCCCACCCCTGTGCTAGACATTCTTTGTAGTACCTGACACGGTTGAATCTTCCTAAATTCTCTTCTCTCTTGCTTTCCAAAATATTATAACATACTATTTCTCCACTTTGACCATTCTTATTCTCTTTCATTTACTGCTCTTCTTTATCCCACACCCTACATATTTATGTTCCCAAAGGCTCATTACCTTCTGATTTTCTCTGATTCTTTTGCAGAGCACTAACAAATTCTCATAACTTTAGCTATCACCTCTGTGCTCATAACTTTAAAAATCTACATCTCCAGCCATAATCTAGACAGTCATCTATATATTATATTCCTACTGCATTCCTACTACCATCCATTAAGTATTTCTCCAACCAAACTCATTATTTTCTCTCCAAATTGATTCCTTCTTACAATCTGCCCCTTTTTAGTTAAAGACACATCATTCTCCTAATCACCTATGCTTTAAACATGTTCTACTTCTCCCTCTCCTGCATTTGCTCCCTCTCCTCCTTTCAATCCATCACCAGGTCTTATTTATTCTTTCTTCGTAATATCTCTTAAATTTGCCCATTTCTTTCCATTTCCAGTACCACCATCACAGCCTAGATCTGTACCACATGCCTAAATTACTGCAACAACTTTCTAATAGCCTCCCTAACTCCAGACTCTCTCATTTCATCTCAGAGTCATCCTATAATATCATCCTATAATATTAATCATATTAAAACTGCTAAAGGAATATTTTTATCATGCTATTCTGCTGCTCAAGAATTCACCATTTCTCCCCAGGATCTACCCACCAAGTGTTCTAAAGCTGGGCAAACTTGTTTTTCTTTTTTTAATATATATTTTCATAAATATATTTCAGTATAATTGGTTTCCTTTGTAATCTTATGTATGTTTAATGCAGTTAAAAATATTATTCTGAAAAAGCTTTCATTGGCTTCACCACACTACCAAAGGGGTCAATGACATAAAAAATGACACAATGACACACACACACACACACACACAATGACACAATGACACAAAAAGTTAAGACCCTCTAGCTAAGTTCAAACTTCTTGTGCTGGTTGTATCCAAAACCCCACAATCTTGGACTCACCTTACCTTCTCACAACTACTCAACAAAAGCACCCACTGCTCTAGTCAAGCTAGTTTCATAATTTCCCCCAATATTCACATCATGCTCATTCCTGCTGCTGCACCTTTGCTTCTCCATACTCATAACCTTCGTGCCACTCTGACTTTTTTCTCCTACTCACTTTGTACTTCCCAAGGTAAGGATGACGGCCTCCAGTTATTAACATATCTTCTCCACGTTCCAGAATGCAGCGGACTGGACAGCCAGTTCTAAAATCAGAAAAAGGTCAATTTATACCAACTAAGGATATGACATAAAAAAAATTAATATTTTGGATTTATTCAAATCATTTCCTTTCAGTTCATTTCCAGTGTTCCACCCCACCCTAATCCAGCATTGCTCTAGTTTGTACAAGGGCTCCTCTACTCCCTTGATGAAGCTTATGGTTTCCACTATACCAGCCTATGCTTTAGGAGCTTTCTCATTCTCTCAGGGACCTCTCTAGCTACCTTCCCATATAAGAAAAGAGTCTTAAGACATTTCTTCAGGGCACATATCTTTTGTATTATGCCTACCATAATGCTATAATGGATATAATGGATGTCCAAGGTATTTCATTTTATACTAAAAAACAACTGGGAATGCTCCAAGGGATGGCTTCTGATAGAGAAAGTGGAACAGAGAGATTGTCATCTCTTTGCTCTAGGCTACCTTAGGGTTAAAACTTTAGAGTCTAGAACCATCAGTGCAAAGTGCAAAGAAAACTAGGTTTAAGTTAAATGACAGGAATTTGAATCATAGCTCTACCTCTTACCATCTGGGTAACTTTGAAAAAAGTTATTTGATGTCTCAAAGCCTGTTTCCTCAGTCATAAAATGAATGGGCAAATTGCATTGATCTAGTATGGCCCATATAGCTTTAAAATTCTATGTTCCAACCCATAAATGAACTCCCAAAGGAAAAAAAAATGGGACCAAGTAAATTTATAAGCCAATTCTATCAGATATTCAAAGAGTTATTCATTCTAATCATACATAAACTAATTTCAAAAGTAGAAAAAGATGAAATCCTATCAAATTTCTTCTAGTATGCGTAGTCTTGGTACTTAAATCCAGAGCGAGTCAAAACAGAGGAAGAAAACTATACATTAATATCCCTAATGACACTGAGGCAAAAACAACAAATAAAATACTAGTTGAAAGACTACAGCAACATATTACAAAGATTATACATTATGACTAGGTTGGAGTTATACTAGAAATGCAAGTTTACTTCAATATTAGGAAAATTATAAGCATATTAATATCAAGATCAACCTAAATCATGTGATTATATCAAGAGATATACAAAAAAATTTTTTGACAAAAAATTTGACCCAAAAGTCTCAGTGCAAGTTGAAGTTTTAATAATTTAAATCAATACTCATTTCTATTAAAAATAAACAAATAAACTAGAAAATACTGGAATATATGGACTTTATCTTAACATGTGAAATAAAATCTATCTAAAATAAAATGCCAACATAATATGTAAAGGGAACAAATAAGTCTTTTCCAGTAAGATTAGGGATAAAGTGAAGACGTCCATTGTCACCACTAATATTTGATATAGTGCTAGAAATGCTAGCTACAGCAATAAGACAAAAAAAAAGAAATTGAAGGAATAAGTATCATCAAAGAAGAAATAAAAGTATTACTTTTGCAGATGATATAAGGGTGTGCTTAGGAGAAACTTAAGGAACTGACTACAATTACTTGAAACAATTTCAGCAAAGTTGCAGGAAATTAATAATTCTACAAAAATCATTGACATTTCTGTTATTTTTTCTAATAAAACAAAGCAGGAAATGATAGAAAGAAAATTTCCTTTAAAAGAACTACAGAATGTATAAAATATTTGGGAGTCTATCCAACAAGATATACACAGGAAATATACAAAAACAGCTACAAAACATTATTTGTAGAAATAAAAAAAACTAAAATAACCAGAAAAATATTAATGGGTAGGCCAAACCAATATAGTAAAAATGACAAAATTAATTTACTTAAACAGTGCCATACCAATAAAACTATCTAGGTACTACCTCAACAAATTAGAAAAAATAGTAATGAAATTTATCTGAAGGAACAATAGGTCCAGAATCTTAAGGGAAATAATTTTTTAAAAGTGTGGGGAAAGGATGCCTAGGAGTACCAGATGTCAAACTGCACTACAAAAGAAGTAATCATTAAAATGATTTGATACTGGTTAAATATATATATATATATGTGTGTGTATATATATATATACATATATATATATATACACACATACACATATATACGCTATATATAATAGATAGATAGATAGATAGATAGATAGATAGATAGATAGATAGATAAGTGTAACAGATTAGATACATAACTTATTGGAAGAAATGAATTTAGTATGTCATATTCAGCAAACCCAAAGACCCTGGAAAATGGGTCAAGGAATCACTATTTCACAAAAACTGCTGGTAAAACTGTATAGCAGTCTGGTAAAAAGTGAGCTTTGATCAACATCCTACACCATATACCCAAATAATCTCCAAATGGATATATGACCTTGATATCAAAGATCATGTCATAAACAGGTTAGAGGTACAAGAAAAAAAATTACCTTTCTGATCTATGGGCAAATAGATATGACCAAACAAGGGATAAAAAGAGATCACAGAAGGTAAAATAGACAATTTTGGTTACATGAAATTAAAAAGTTTTTGCACAAACAAATCTAATTCAGCTAAGATTAGAAGAGAAATAGTTAACAGAGGAGAAAAAAAAATCTTGCAGCAAGGTTTTTCCAAAAAAAAGTTCTCAATTCCAAGATACATGAGGAACAGATTCAAATTTACAAGAATAAGATCCATTATCAGTGGAATAGGTTAGGTACAAAGACACAGTAGTCAATGACTGTGGTAATCTACTGCTTGATAAACCCAAAGACCCTAGCTTCTGGGATAAGAACTCACTATTTGACAAAAACTACTAGGGAAACTGGAAAAAAGTGTGGCAGAAACTAGGCATAGACCAAAATCTTATATCATATACCAAAATAAAGTCAAAATGGGTACACAATTTAGACATAAAGGCTAATACTATAAGCAAACTAGGAGAGCAAGGAATATTTTAACCTGTCAGGTTTATGGAGAACAGAAGAACTTATGACCAAACAAGAGATACAGAACACTATGAAATGAAAAATGGATAATTTTGATTACATTAAATTGAAAAGTTTTTGCACAAACTAAGCCAATGCAACCAAGATTAGGAGGGAAGTAGAAAACTGGGAAAGAATTTTTACAACCAGTGTCTCTGATAAGGGCCTCATTTCTAAAATATACAGAGAACTAAATCAAATATATAAGAATACAAGTCATTTCCCAATTGATAAATGGTCAAAAGATATGAACAGGCAGTTTTCAGATGAAGAAATTAAAGCTATCTATAGTCCTATGAAAAAATGCTCTAAATCACTATTGAGTAGAAAAATGCAAATCAAAACAGTTCTGAAGTACCCTATCACACCTATCAGATTGGCTAACATGAGAAAACAGGAAAATGATAAATGTTAGAGAAGATGTGGGAAAATTGGAACATTAATGCATTGTTGGTGGAGTTGTGAACTGATCCAACCATTTTGAAGAACAATTTGGAAATACGCCCAAAGGGCTATAAAAATGTGCATACCCTTTGACCCAGCAATAGTACTTCTAGGATTTTATCCCACAAAGATCACACAAATGGGAAAAAGACCCACATGTACAAAAATATTTTTAGCAGCTCTTTTTGTGGTAGCAAAGAATTGGAAATTGAGAGGATGCCCATCAATTGGGGAATGGCTGAACAAGCTGTGGTATATGAATGTAATAGAATACTATTGTGCTATAAGAAATGATGAGCAGCTAGACTTCAGAAAAACCTGGAAAGACTTGTATGGTCTGATACTGAGAGAAGTGAGCAGAATCAGAACTTTGTGCACAATAACAGCCACATTGTGGAATGACTAATATTGATAGAATTAGTTCTTTTCAGCAATGCAAGGATCTAAGACACCTCCAAAAGTCTCATGATGGAAAATGCTATCCACATCCAGAGAAAGAATTATGGAGTTTGAATGCAGATCAAAGCATACTATTTGCTCCTTTTTTCCCTTCTGTTTTGTTTTGTTTCTTCTTTCTTGTAGTTCCTCTTGTTGGAGGAACACATGCACACACACACACACACACACATGTACAAAAGGCAAATTGACAAATGTTTTTCTTAGATTTTATTCCTCTCTGAATATTTTACAATCCAATAACACTGGCCTCCGTATATTCTTTCTCCCTACTCCCTACTTTTTCATAGGCTGTTCCCCATAGCTAGGATGTTTTCCGTCCTCATCACCACTTCTTGGTTTCCCTACCTTCTTTCAAGCTAAAATCTCATCTTCTGAAAGATGTCTTTGCCTGGTCCCACTCGGTGTTGGTACCTTTCCTCTGAAATTACTTCCATTTCTCTTGTGTATACCTAGTATGTACAGAGTTATTTGAATATTATCTTCCTCAGTGGAAATGTGACCTTCTTGAAGGCAGGGACCATTTTTGCCTTTGTTTACATCCTCAGTGCTTAGCATAGTGCTTGGCACAGAGTGGGCCTTTAATAATTGCTTCTTGACTTTTTTTTTCCTTGTTGGAAGGGCTGTGGAAAAACAGGTACATTGATGTGCTATTGGTGGAATTGTGGATTGGTATAGCCATTCCAGAAAGAAATTTGAAACTATGATCCCAAAAGTTACTAAACTATGAATACTCTTTGATCCATAAATAGCATTACTAGGTCTACCCCTCAATGAGATCAAACAAAGAAGAAAGAACTCACATATATAGAATTTTTTACAAAAGAACCTAGGTAGTACAGTTGACAGTGTTCTGGACCTGGAGTCAGGAAGATCTGAGGCCAAATCCAGCCTCAAACACTTACTAGCTTGTGTAACCCTGGGCAAGTCATTTTAAGACTGCTGTCTGCCTCAGTTTTCTCATCTGTAAAATAAGGATAATAATTGAATCTACATTCTAGGGCTGTTTGGAGGATAAAACGAGATAGTATTTATAAGAGCTTAGCAAACCTTAAAATGCTATATAAATGTCAATTATTGTTATTATTGCTATTATTATAGAGACAAGGAATTAGAAACTAAGGGGAAACCATCAACTGGAGAATGACTGAACAAAATTGTGGTAAGTGAATGTAATGGAATACTACCGGGCTATAAGAAACAAAGAAAGAAATGATGTCAAAGAAACCTGGGAGGACTTATGTAAACTGATGCAAAGTGAAATGAGCAGAACCAGGAGAAGAATTTACACTATAATATCAATATTACAGAAATGAATAATTTTAAAAGATTTAATTGAGAATTTCGATTAATATAATAATTAACCATGATTCTAGAAGACTAATGATGAAGAACACTATCCACCTCCTGACAAAGAGGTGATCAGCTAAAATTCATAATGAAGCAAACATTTTGGGGCATGGCTAACATGGGCATTTGTTTTGCTTGACTACACCTATTTGTTACAAGGGTTTTGCTTTGCTTTTTTTTTTTTTTTAGTAAAAGGAGGGGGTGGCAAAGAAAGTGGAAGAGAGAAAAAAAAAGTTTGGTAACTGAAAAAAAAGTCCTGTTTTTATTATTTCCAGAAGAAAAGATCACTGGACTTTGTTACTCAGCAAAAACAAAAAATTAAAGCCTTTTAGGTATATATATTTGACTATATATACATTTGACCTGTGAACATGATTTATTGCAGAAATACAACAAAATTCCCATTTATTTAAAGGAATCCCTATATTGAGCAAAGGATCACTCAATAGGTAGTTAAACCAAGTAATTATCACCAAATCAAGTCTATTGCCTTTCTGCTTTCTAGGTATTACAATGTTTTCTACTTTTTTTTTGGTAGGAATTTACAACTATGTTGGTTTCTACAACTTATAAATATATACAGTTTAGTTAGCTTTACAGTAGAAAAAAATTTCTAGCTTATTTCAATTTTTTTCTCATTACAGGTTTTTTTTTCTTTTGTTTTGTTTTGCATATTGGACCTCCCTTCTCCCATTTACCAGAATTAATTGGGAGTTCATTATGTCTCCTGGGTGTTTTTATCAAAATTATTTTGTTTTCCATAACTCACATTTATAAAGCTCTTTCATATTTACAAAGCACTTTGTTTTCCAATAACCAAGGCATAAAGGTAGTGAAAGAATTATGGCGGTACACATTTTACATTAAAGAAACTAACACTCAGAATGGTTAAGTGACTTACCTTGGATCATAGCTAAAAGGGGCAGAACTAATGTGACTCCAAAAGCACTTCTTACTCTACCATACTGACTCTCTTGATCTCATTAAATATCACTTAAATTTCCACTTACTTGTTTGCTGCAAATGCGGTAATAGCTGCCATGATACCAGTTTTTAATGTTTTTCCACCAAAAGCTCCACCAACTCTTTTGACATGACACATGATCTTGTTAGATGTAACCTTTAACACAGACGCTACTATGCCCTGTAAATATTAATTTGGATTAATTTGAATCCTTTCAAATATGAAATTTAGCTCCTACCAATAAGAGAAATTATATATGTGGGGGCAGGGGAAGGGTGCAGAATGCTAGCTGCTAGCTAATCACTACCATGAAGAAAAAAATGGTTTCCTAGGCCAAGAAATACAAATAGTGGAGTACTGAAGACTAGACAAATGTAATTTTTACTGATTAAAGTCTCCTTTTCATTCAAAGATATACCAAAACCAAATCAGAAGCAATCCATGTTAGCCTGTAAAATCTGGGTATTTTTATCAAATTATAAAATATTGATTTAAATAAAAATGTTTGGGGATTTTTTAAATTTCCAGTAGGCCCAGAAGTCTTATCTCTATTTATCAGAATTATGAATTCCCATAAACATATTGATATATCAAGAGGCAAAATTGTCTTGGAATTACAGAAATTCCTAAATGGATATAGAATACTGCAGTAAGATCTTGTATCATGCTACATATCACAAAATTTGAGAAATGTATTAAAAAGATGGAGATAAACATGTTTTAAAGGCCTGGGAACTCACCTGTCTTAAACTTCATTGAAAACTTATAGGTTGTAATTAAAGCTAAGCTTGGGGAAATGGACGGTTTGTCAAAGGTACACTTAATGTTCAATGTGATAAGAGAATAGTTCTATGATGAATTTTAAAATGTGTCAAAACTTGTGAACTCAAATCACTTTTATAATAAGTGACTTCAGCAAAAGGAGGACATATTACATATTAAAAGGTTTTCTTAAGATGCAAAAAAGGTTTATTGTATATTAACAGATATAATTTTCTAATTTTGTCCCATTTAATACACATATCACTATAACAACTATAGTATTCTCTGTTCTCTGATTCTAGGTTGCTCCCAAAAAAGCAACACTACAGAGTATTGCATTTCGAAAACTGAAGGAATATTCATATCATTATGGCGTAAAAAGTATTAAATTCAGGGTATTTTAAGTAGGCAGTGGGGTTTGGGATTTTTTGTTGTTGTTGTTTTGATTTTTGTGTTATTTTTTGTTAGAAAATTTTTAGAATTAACTATGTGCCCTGGACAAGGACTCTACCCTACCTGTACAAACTTGGGATATTGTGTTGACACATAGACATCCATTTCTTTGTCCTCTCCATGTGGAACAACAAGCATGCTTTGAGTTTCCACGTAAAAATGTTCTTGGCCTCCGGTACGAATCTCACCTATTATAGGAGAAAAAAACCAACAACCCTCAAATGTTTATACAAAACAGTTTGGATGACAAGTTTAGGGGGCAAGTAAGGTCAGGAAAAAGCTGCACTACTGGCTACCCAACCTTAATCTCATATTTCACAAGCATTTCCACATGCAGCAGCTCCAGCCCTAGATGATCTGCAATGTCCCTTCCAGGCTCTATGTTCTCTGATCCAAACATCTTTAAGTCCCACAGGCAATATTAGTTCACATTTATGGGACTGAACTGTTGTTCTAGATTGGGAAAGCTCAGGATTAAGTTATAAAATATAGCTGGCTTCTTAAATTCAGAGACAAAACTCCAATGCAAAAATAAGTAGTAAATATAGAAGGGAGAGAGAAAAGGGAAGAGAGCATATTCATAGTGACCATTATCCTTCCCCCATGCCCAAGGTTATCCCAAGGCAATCTCATTGTCCCAAACTGTTTATTCCTGACCCCTCCTCCCCACCTACCCAGTCAAATTTCTTCTTCCTAAGTCTCACAGATTCCCCTGGAAGTTCCTTATTGTCAATGGGAAAGTGGGTGATAAATGAAACTAATACAAGTTAATTTTCTGTAATACTCCTGATCCACTAACATTGACAAAAGTCAGAAACTCTTCCATCTTTAAGGGAGGCAGTGGAGTACAGTGGAAAGAGTGTTAAAGTCAGAGAACCTGGGTTTAAATATTTACTTTGCCATTTGGCACCTGTGTGTCCTTGGAAAAGTCACTCTATTTATCTGAGCCTCAATTTCCTCATCTGTACTTCATCTACTCTATACTTCTCTGTACCTGTGTGTGTGTGTGTAGTACATGCTTTTATATGAATATGTGTATAATGTACCTGTTTATATGTATATATATATATGTGTGTGTACATACAATGTACCTGTTTATATGTGTGTATATGTATATATAGTGTGCCTGTTTATAATGTGTGCATATGTATATATGACGTACCTGTTTTTCTACATCTGTATGTATAGATAATCTACCCGTTTTTGTGTGTATTTATAATGTACATGCTTTTATATATGTGTGTGTATTTGTATGTGTATATATAATATACCTTTTTAAATGTGTGTATATTATATATGATGTGCATAGGTATGTATACAGTGTGTACCTGTTTATATGTATGTATATAAGACCTGTTTTTATATGTGCATATATATATGATGTGCCTGTATGTGTATACATATACATGCATATGTATATATATGTATATATAGTACCTATTTATATATAATGCACTTTATACATGTATATAAAATATAATGTTATATATAATTTTATATGTGTATATATACCTATTTATATGTGTGTAAAATGTATCTGTTTATGCATATATACACACATATATGTATATATATATAAAATATGCCTGTTTGTGTGTGTTTACATATGTATATGATGTACGTGTATGTGTGTGTATTCTCTACTTCATCTACTCTGTACTTCTTTTCTACATGCCTGTGTGCATATACATGTGTGTATGTATATATAATGTAAACCTATATGTATATACATGTTTATATGTGTGTATGTAAAACAGGTACATACAAGAGAAGTAAAAAGTAGACAAAAAGTCCCCCCCAAGGGGCATATAGTAGCAGTAGGTACAGGAGGACCAGGAAAGGCCTGCGACAGGATAGGGAATTTGGACTGAGTCTTAAAGAAAGCCACATATTCTGTGAAACAGAGGTTAGAAGGGAGAGCATTCTAGGAATATAGAAGACAGCCAGTGGCAAGGCCCAGATGTGGGAGATGGAGCACTGCATGTGACAGGAGGCAAGTATAGCCTACAAAAGTTATGAATGAGAAACCAATACAGTGGAGAAGATCTGGTAAACCATGTAAGCTGACATGCTGGATTCCCTTCTGAAGGTAGGCAATATCAAGGCAATAAACTCTGCTTTGAAACAAAGGACAGAGAAGACCTCTTATACAAGTTAGATTGCCAGCAAAAAGTCTGGGTAAATTAGAGACCTGGAAAAGCAGGATGGTAGAAGGTACTGGGGGAAAAAATCCAGATTTCCTGACTTGCTTGTGGTTTACTTAACAACTCTATCCTTCTGAAAGTAGAATTGATAGGTGGAAAAATGGAAAAGTGATTGGAGAATTACAAATTTTTAGAGCTAGAAGAAATTTTAGAGGTTGGGGTGGACAAGGATATTAGATTGCTTCAGGTAGGCTGATACCTGTAGGACAATATATTCAAGCTACCAATATTGATTCTCAGCAAGCAACTGGGAAAGCTGTATGTCTGAGATGCACCTGACCTGAAAACCCCCTATTAGAAATCCTTCAGGAACTCTCAACATAGCTTGCTAATAACTCATATTGACATAGCACTGAAAGGTTCACAAAGCACATTCCTCACAACAACCCCATGAGGTCAACATTACAAACATTATTATTCTCATTTTACAGAGGAGGAAACAGACTCCAAGAAGTGATCCACCCAATGTCATAGCCTCACAGATGTAAAGCAGGAAAGCTCCTCCAAAGTCATCTTATCAACCCTTCTCATTTTACAGAAGAAGAAATTTAGGCTTAGATCATTTAAGTGACCAGCTCAAGATTACACATTAAAGTGGTGGAGCCTGGATTTGAACCCAGGGCCTCTGACTTTTAGCACTGCACCACACTGTCTTCACAAAGCTAGTGACAGAAGCTGGCAACTTTGAATAGCTCTGCCTCACTTCAATCTAATTCACAGTCAAGTCAAGACATCACTCATGGTGTCATTGGTCTTCAAAAACAAAGGACAAACAACAAGGAGAAATGACAGAGCTGAGACTGATGCTAAGATCTTATATAAGTCTTCTTTCTCTTATCCAACACTGCTTCCCTATGTTTAAGGAGCAAAATGCTTTACCTTCAAGGATTTGGTCAACAGTTTTAAATGCTTCATCAACGTTTCCATAGTCTATTTTTCTTTCTGGCTTAAAGAAAGAGTTGTGCTGTATAGCATCCTAAGGATGAAATGGAAAAAAATATATGTGTATATGTATGTATACAATGCATATATATATATATGTATATATATATGTATATATATGTATATATATATATACATATATAAAATAAGGATTATTTTTCTCAAATGTGGGGAGAGGAAGTGGAAGGAAGAGAAAATAAAGTTTTGCTCATTGAATAAAAATTTAAGAAAAAAAAGGCTGATTGGTAGGAACTTAACATTACACAAGACCCAGCCTCATTGTTTTCACTACTTGAGTCTTAGCAGCTTTCTTCCCATGCCCATGTCTTGTTGAACTTTCCCACAAAAGATTTGTGCAGAGGCAGTGAAACCTCAGGGAGTGTCCACTCCCAGAGGAGACTATATAAATTACATAATTTGAGATCTCCTGAAGGTGCAGGAGGTAGGAGAGAATGGAAGGGGTGAGTACACTTAAAATAGTCAGGATAACAGATATCATTTTCCAAGGACAGATTTGCCCTCCCCATTTTAAACACAAGTTTCATTGTTAAGAGGATAAAAGGAAAACAGTTTGCCATCATAACAATGATTAATTCCAAGTGTTGAAGAACATTGGTAATAAAAAAAAGTTATGTGGCTTTTCCCAAAAGATAAAATTTAGTAACTCACTAATCAATTTTATATAAACAGTGGAACTGGGAAGAAGTAAACACAATTCAACTACAATAAAATTTGCATTCTGATTCTGAACCAACTCTAAATGCATAAATTACAGCAAAGTCCCAGTTCCTTCCCCACAACCATATTCTTTTTATAGATCCATACAAGCCATGGCAATTGGATGTTATCTCTGTCTCTTGACAAGTGTTGAAAAGGAGTCATAAACTACTGTAAGTTCTAAAATTGATTGCCATGATCAATTTTGATGGTTATTTGATGGTCGATGGTTTTAATTTTATCATACCAAAGTAATAACTGATATATTTCACAGTTTATTTAATCACCTCATTTGTTTTCTAACTAAGCTAAGGATAATATTTCCTGGGTTAAAAACAGAAGCATGAGCTCACACATAGAAAGCTGGAAGGGCCTTTAAAGTCCTTCTGGTCCAATCTCCTCATTTTACAGACGAGAAAACTGAGGCCCAGAGAAAAGCAACTTGCCCAACGTCCCACAAGTAGTAAGCAGCAATTAAAGACTTTGAACTCAGGTCCAAATACTCTAGTTCAGAACACTTTCCACTGTAACAGGCTGCCTCCCGAAGTTAATTTGGAAACTCTATTGAGCATTTTTTTTTTCAAGACCACGTGTCCCCTGATTTCTAGGCCAACTTGAACCTATGTATTTTCCAAATATTTCCTGGTGAGGGAGGCCAGACTTTGATCTTTTGATCTGGATTTGGGCAGTATACTATACACACCCCTTTAATCCACATCCATTTGTGTTTTAATCAGTCTTAGATTTAATTGCTAATGAAGATAGTACAGAGGTGGAGTAAGGACTCTACTCCACACCTTAGCGGGGGAACATTTGTAAAGTTTGGGTTTTTTATTTTGGGTGGAGCTTTTTGTCAGATAATTAGAGACTTCATGAGTTGTTTCTTAATTTTTTTTCCCTTGATGATGGAGATGGGAACATTTTGAAACTGGAAAGAAGAGGAGGAGTAGAAGGAGGAGGAGGAAAATATCCAGAAGTGCTCATATTTAAACAGAGCTTTAAGATTTGCAAAGTGATTTAGGGATGCAGTGGATAAAGTGCTGTATCTAGAATCAGGAAAACCAGAGTTCAAATCCAGCCTTAGATACTTACTAGTTCTGTAACCCTAGCGAGCAATTTAACTTTTCTTAGCCTCAGTTTCTCTATGGGTAAAATGGAGATAATAATAGCACGGACGTTACATGGTTGTTGTGAGGCTTAAATGAGGTAACAAGGGCAAAGTGCTTTGTAAACCTCAAAGTATCCTATAAATGCTAATCATTATTTTATTATCTCTTCATTTAATCCTCAGTGATCTTTATGAGAACTTTGTTAAGTACCTGTAGTTTCCAAACTCACATATTGCTTTGTTTCTTTAGGAAAAGAAATGGGGCTCGTACAGTGGTGTTCAAAACAAATGTGTTATGTAAGTAATGGTCCTAATTCTTCTAAAAACATCTGTTTTGATACTAAGGACTCAAGAGCCCCTAAACAAGCACTTGAATATCTTCCTGATTCACTAAAAAGGCATGAACTTTAGATTTTGAACAAAGACTAGCACTTTTTTTTTTTGCTTTTTTAAAAACAAATTGCTCAAACAAATTCAGGGATCCTTGGCAGAGAGAAGCAGAATGCACAGTTGTTTTGGAACAAATTCTTTTAGAGACTCATCTTAGCCAGTTCCCCACCACAAAGTTGATTTTTTTCCTATGACAAATAATTCTGTTATGAACATGAACTTGTTCCCTAAGTAACCTCCAAGCACTTAAAATGTCTTTTTAAAATTTTATTTCTAATATGTTAACTTTTTTAAAATTGTGACATGCTTTCATTACTTTATAAGACAATTAAAATAAAATCAAATGCATGCATAAGAATATGTAAAATTTCAGAAAGAGAAACTTCCAAAGTGATTTTGGAATAAAAAAAATCCATTTTGAAATGTGAGCAACTATAATGTTTATAGGCACATGAGGATTCTCAAATTAGCATTAATCTTATAAACTTAGAAGATGATAATTTAATTGTATAGAACTTTTCTTTCTTATATAGGAAGATACACATTGGGGAGAAGCAAAATAAGACCTGAAATCGGACCTCACAAGAACGAATTCCTTTAATCTTCCTTCAGAGTTTGGCTGAATGGTACCAGGAGATAAAGGGAGAGAGAGGACACAGCTGGCTGTGTCCAGTGACCCAGTGACATAACTCCCCATAAAGATTGATGGCAGCCTGGTCTCCTTATTTCTGAGAGGAGAATCACTGAAGAACTTGATAATCACCTCAACAGTCAGGATTAAGGGTGTACAATCACTGTACTCAATCTTCACCAGACGAGCGGCTCTCTTTGCTTTAACATCTGAATCAGCAATCACGGCACACACAAGCTGGCCCACACCAAAGACCTAAAAAACACAAAGACCATAGGCTTTTTTTGGGGGGGGGAGCAGAGGGGTATGTTTTATTCTTCTCTTGTATCATATTCACATTCTGCTACAGAGTTAGGCACACACATCAGCACCACAGGTTCTGAATGTATTCCCATTCTGAATGTTGGTGTCTGGTACATATATCCAAAGTTTAAAAGATCTCCAGTTCTGTCAGTGGTGGATACAGTACTGAGTGCAACCTTTCCATGTATTAGTAGGTTGTGTGCCGTTGTGTTCAAATAAATTGTGGCCACCCTTCTGAGGAAGACGCTCTCCAGTAACAGATTCTGTCACCCAGCCAGCACTTTGAAGATTTTCTGGCTTAGTAAGATCTACTAGAGCCCAAGTCCACCAGAGTGACCTTTAAGAACTCAGGATAATCTCTCTGCTGAAATGGGGCAGAGTAGGGCCTTAGTAGAGGCCTGCTTATATAGCAGGTATGTAAGTATCCATTGAATAAAGGGAAATGAATGAATAATGAAGTAACACATCCACTGTTAACAAATCTTCTGGAAACAAGACACACTTAAAAGAAAAGGGATGACAGCCCAAAAGGGATTGAAGAAATTTCAAGACTCCTTGGAAATGGATCAGAGTTAGCAATGGCCAAGGGGAATGGACAGCAGTGGCTCTGCTTCTTGAAAGCAGATCTGGACAAGGGCTTGACTGAGGGGTGGTCTCTGGTGGAAGATGCTTCCTAACCTGTGGCTAAGTCTGTTGTCTGTATTACTGGGGAGAGGGCTGTAATGAAAGAAAGAGTTAACCACTCCCTGCCATGGAAGAAGCCACATGACCACTAGCATAATAGAGGTTCCTATCACCTGGATTATTTCGATAGCCTGGTAACTGATCTCTCAATTCCAGGTTCTTTCTTCTCCAAACTATCCTTCACAGAGACACCAAATATTCTGAATTCACAAGTTTTACCATGTTACTCACTGCCTCAAAAAATCTTCAGTTGTTCTTGAGAATAAAATGCATAGCTCTTATCCTGATATGTAAAGCCATCCAACAATCTGGATACCAGATACCTTTCCAACCTTACTTGACAGTATTTCTGTTCAAGAGCACTCCACATTCCAGCCAAACTAGCCATCTAGCCCTTGAATTCAATACACAGGCTATTTCTTCTTCACCTTTGCTTCTCAGAATCCCTAATTTCCTTCTAGGCCCTGTTCAGATGCCCCATGTTCTGCTGGAAGCCCTTCCTAATTTCCCCAGTTTTTTATGCTGTCTTCAAATTATCTTGTATTTATTTCTCTGTACATCTGTTATATCCACTATAAGCACCATCATTCCCAACAGAATGTAAGCTCCTTGAGGGCAAGGACTGTTTTGGTTATCTTTGCATCTCCAGAGCCTATAACAGTGCCCAGAACTTAATAAAAATATTTAAGTTCTTGTTAAATTAAATCCAGTCTTATTTACAAGAAAGAGAGTAAAGGAAAGCTTTTGAGATGAAGCAATACAATTCAGCACAGTAGCCATATGATGGATCACATTCCTATTCCTTCTCTATAATTTCAATCTCCGATAACAAAATTTCTGAAAACAGTGGGTCATTAAGACATATCCTTTTTATTTCTTCTAAGATATATGTCTATACTGGCAAGATTAAAGGGGCATTATAAATCTAGGTGACAAACTTCTGGCTTAGAATTTAATGCATCCTACTCAGAACTTTTAGAGGGATGGGGAGCAGAAGGGGTTCTTTTATTAACTTTGGTTCAGCCCAAGTTCTGAAAAGCTAAAAATTACTTTAGCATATTCTTTGTATTTTTTTCTTCTGCTTTCTACTGACATTTCTTCCTCTGTATTTACTTCCTATTCTCTCACCCTCTATTCTCCATGCTAAACATCTCTAGTTCCTTCCACTAATCCTGACATGATATGGTCTCCTGTTCCCTTACCATCCCAGTCACCTCCCACCTCTCAAACAGGATTCTTTTCTTAATATAGCCTAAGACTATGCTAATTTATTATTATACTTTGATATTTATATAAATCACCATAGTATCATCAGTATTGACTTTTTCCCAGTGCACATTCCTATTTCCAGTGGTTCTGGGGTACAGAATATGCATAGACATTGTCATTTTTTCTTATGCAATATAAAAATGAACAATTCATATCTCAAAGCATTTCACAAGCCTGAACACTGTCCTGTTCCATTTCATCCACAAAGCAAGCATTCCATAGGCAATACCAAACAATCTTGTTTTTTTAGTTAATATTTACTTAGTGTCCACAGTTCTCAGCTAACTGCCAAAACACTTTGGCTCTGTCTCATGGGGTTCACAGTGGTTTCTATTCAAGGTAGGCTTCGTTTAAGCTCTACTGATTACTAATTTTTTTTCCTTTTGTGTCTGCTTCCTAAATTGTGGCTGTCCTTACTAGACACTGAATTAGATACTGAATGAGAACTCAAGTTTCTAGAGTGCTTAAAGAGGCTTAAGAATTCCTGCAATGTACTTATATGTGCTAAGTATGAACTAACATTTCCCAAACCAAAAGGCTCCCAATGCCCTTTTAATAGCCGGCACTAAACAAACGTCTAACCACTAAACTTTCGTTGACATCGGGACCCTGTTCACACACAGGTCTTCAGATGCCAGGAGTCCTGTGCATGTTCAATGTCTGGGCATGCATTATCAACCATCATCTGGGTTGAAACAAAGGAGCTAGCAAAGAGTGTGGATTCCCCCAGCCTCTTGGAGACCAGATCTCTAGGCATTTACTGACCCAGACATCTGGCCCAAGACCAAGGCTTAACCCTTTCTTTCCTTTAGACGATACAGTCTGACACTACCCTTCATCATCAGAGAACCCTGGAGGGTGGGAGGAGCCCTACTCGGTTGGTGCTCTCCCATCCCATGGCTAACTAACTCCTATTTTCTCTTCCCCAAATTCCTGTGATTCAGCATCACCATCTACTAAAGTGAAAACCTTCTTCCCCAATTACCAGAAGCACTCTCCCATCCCAATTTACTTAAATCATCTGGCACTGCCTGATTTCCTGTTTCTATTGTGGCTTTTGAAAGCCCTGTTGTGTTTTGTTCAGCAAATTTTCCTTTATTTTGTACTTCTCACACTCTTCCCATATTCTTGATGGTAGAGAGCTCCCTTGGATAGACATTGCTTCACTGGCCATCTTCTCCAGTGCTAAATGTTTCTAATCTCACATCCTCCGACAAAATGGGCCAGGAAGAGTGCACTTACTCATCTTCTCAATCAGCTTTCAGACAGCCTCTTAGCTCCTCCTTCCAAGATTTAATCCATCCATCCATCCAGATCAGTGGTATCAGATTCAAAATGAAACAGCTGAAGCTGCACATTGATTTAGAAGACTACAAATTAACATTATCTGTGTTGTATTTTTATTTTTGCCAAACACTTACCAATTATATTTTAATCTGATTCAGGCTGCACTCCAGAGTTTGCTGCCACCTGCTGCCAAGATCAGTCAGTACGGATCTTTCAGTCATCTACCAGCCTCCAGGTCTTTTCCCCCACTTTCTCAAGGAGTTTAGCTTACTTAACTATTAGTTGTCTTCTCTACCTCAACCACTACCTTCATTTTCAAGGACTTCAATATATATGTTGATGTCCCTTCAAACATAACTGGCCTCCCAGTAAATATATCAACCTCTTCAGTTTCCATGACTTGCACCTTAACTCCTTCTTGGTCCCTCATGGAGACAGTGATCTTAAGTCATGCCATCATCCATAACTGGGCCACATCCATGATCTTCAACTGCCTCTCTCTAATCTTTGTAGCCTTTTTGTCTCAGTCCTCCTAAACTTATTCTTCATTCTCAAGAGGATGTCCAGTCCCTTCACCTCTCCCTGTTCTCCTGGTCCCTCACCCTCTCCTCTGGCCTCATTTTCTTCCCTTCAATTTTATCCCCATAATTAAATAGTTCAACTATACACTATATTCTATATTTTAAAATCTTTGCCTTCTTGTCCTATTGCCACTCACTCCTTGACAAACCACAATCCAGATCTTCCAACTTTAAGATCACTCCTTTTTTAAAAAAAAAATAATTGATATTTTTATGTCACTTAGATAAATAGCTACATAGAAAAATGACTAAGTGGATTTTGGCTTATTTGCAATTTGAACACAGAATTCCAGAATAAAGATGCAAGGAATGTTGGGATAGTTTGGTAATTAATACATTCTGAAAATTTTATGTTAGTTTTTTTAATTGAGTGATGTTAATTGTAGAAAAGTTACTTAAAAATAATAAAAGCATTATACCTCATCAGTTGCCAATATTTCCTCATTTTTAGGAAATTCACGGAAGGAGTTTACGCCTTGAAGATCTTTACCTGTCAGGACATCAACTACTCCTGGTAGTTTAAGGGCTTCTGATGTATCAATAGACCTAAATTTTAAAAATAAGTTGCAGTGTTCCTTCAGAAAAACACACATGAATCTGAAAGCTATTTAGAATATTGTCATTGAAAGAGAAGACACAAAAGGTAAGATATGCCTAACAACTACTCCAATCTAATTATTTGTTTCACTGTCCTAAATGATCCAGTGGCTTGTGATGAGAGTGAGAATTTTGGGAAAAGTGCCCCCTTCTATTCTTTGTCCCACCAAATCTAAGATAACAGAACAGTGGCACCAAGTTGGGTTTGGATGGGAAGCATACACAGGGAAGGCCTTGCTTTTATGCAAGGTTCAGTTTTACCCTTTGAATGTCTACCCTAATGTGTGTGTGTGTGTGTATGTGTGTGTGTACACACATACATATAATATAGATCGTATATATTATATATGCATGTATGTGTGTGTAGGAGTATATATACTCCTACACACACATGAGCTTTAGGAACCAGTCTACACTGACTAAAAGCAAGTGACAGAATCATATATTTGGAACTGAAAGAAACCTCAGAGGTCTACTAACTAGAACAGAAATAGAAACAATATAGGGTAGTCACCAGGAGGCAAATTTCACTCCCAAACAAGGAAGAACTTCCTAACAGAGCTATCACAAAAGTGAAAAGAACTATTTCAGAAGATAGTTCACCTTCATTGGAATTCTTCAAACAGAGCCTTCAGAGGTACCTATCAAGGATTTTATAGGGGGGATTCCTATACTGGAATGGGTACATGAACTAGACAAGACTAGAACCTCCGGTGTTTTTTCCAACTCTGAGATTCTTTGATTCTGCGATTTTAACTCAAAATCCTTTGTGAGGAATGATAAAATTATTTGTGACAAATCCTGAAGTCTAGTCCCACTATGACCCAGGCTTTCACTAACAATCTGAACAAACAATTTATTCTCTGTCTTTTTTGCCTTCTCTCTAGCAGAGTACTTTTAATGGCAACACATTTTGGAGATCAGATGAAAAAGCAAACTATTACTGCTTTCCTCAAATCATGATGTTACTTACACAATCTTGGCATGAGCTCTTGAACTTGGTACAAAGGCCAAGAAAAGTTCTTGGTCATGCGCAGGCATGTCATCACAGTAAATGGCTTCACCAGTTGCATGTTTAATACCAGATTGATGCATGATAGGACGCCCGATTGGATCTTGAGGAAGTTGTTTTGTCTCTACCTTCTATTTAGTAAACAAAACCATTTAAGTGTATCGATAGAGAAAACAACGACATTCTTTGTCTCATTCCTACATTCTTTTCATTTTGCACCTCTCTGACAAAGTAACTATAAGTAAACTCATACACAAATTTCTTCTGGTATTGTCCATCATCACTTTCAACTACTCTCCTTCTCTGCTAGTTAGCAAAATCTCAGATTACAATGTAAGAGTTTTACGGGAATTGAAATCTTATGAAAGTGACATCTGGGTAAAGATTTCACTATATTTTAGAAATCCAAAGAAACACATGTGTTGCATATCTGTGAATCAGACCTGTAAATAATACTTTAAGCAACTGAGTTTTGCTTTTGTTTTTAGCCACAGTATAAACAAATATTACTCTCCTTCCTTCCCCTCAGCACCTATCCATGCTTGATGCTGGTAGGTCTTCCCAAGTAAGTGGGAAAGAATAAGAGGAGAGATGATTCAGTGATACAAGAATGGAAATAAGAGTTTGGCAAAACCCAGGAGCCATGGTGGCAACACATGTAGAGAAACAAACTCCCTTTGTTGCTTTGAGGTGCTTTATTTTCTGCAAATCTGCTGCCTCTCTTTCAACATATATTCCCCATTCAGAACAAAAAATGGTCACACATGATATTTACAATCCCTGCCTTTACAGGGTATTGGGAAAGTGTTACTAACCTGGTATCTTAAAACAGTCTCATAATGTTTGGAATGGAAATCTTCTAAAACACTTCCATACTCAGCTGGTAAACAAGGACAAAGAGAAGGGTTCTGAGAGGAAAACAGTTCATAAATTTAGTGTTAAAATAAGCTATGAGCAAAGCCTCAAATCACTTAATAGCCAACAGTTCTATTTCAAACCTTACATTCAGTTGATCATGGCCATCATCACTAACAGATGTTAACTGATTTGTATGTAGGACAACTATGGGTGAAAAAAGGCACAAGACACAGTCCTTGCCCTCAAGTAATGAATAACAATGTTGCTGAGGAAGCTGAAGACAAACCACAGAACAATGAAGACTGCCTTGTCCAGCTTTCTCATTTTATAGATAAAAAACATAAATATAGAAAGCCAATATCAAAACAATACAGAATATGTGCAGTTTTAAATAAGTTTATATCACTAATTTCTGGCATCTCTTGCATTTTTTATTTGATTATTTTTTAATAAGAAATTAAAATTCCAAGACCATACAGTCAACTTTTCAAAGAGAGGGGAGCTAACCATTACAGGAAGACTTCACTATGTTCATAAATGAAAATGTGGCAAAGTAGAAAAAGTACTGGATTCAGAAATGAAAGGGACTTGGACTTAAATCCTACTTTTGATACTAGGTATATGATGATGAAAAAGTCATTTTCTGAGCCTCAATTTCCTCATCTACAAAATGGAGATAATAGTCTCTCAGCAGAGAGGTGGTAGAATGGAGCGATCACTATTAGAAATAGCCAGTATATTGATTTATTATGCTTTAACTCTACGCCTTTGTTACAAGAGAATGTTCTCTTGGGGGTGAGTTTGACAGTTATTGAGAAGTGACAGGAATTTTTTTAAGACCGTCAATAAAATATTTACTTTTAAAATAAAACATGGAAAAGGAAATCTATAGTACTTATCCTGAAAGATCAAATAAAATAATGTATATAAAGGCACTTTGAGACTCTTAAGACACTATATAAATGGCAGCTCTTATTGTTCTTATTCTATAGCACATAATTAAAACAGCCCTGAGGTTATTAATGACCCTTCACTTCTTCCTGAAGGAAAGGTCTATCTTTACATCACTATCTTTTCCTGGTGACAATACATGGCTATGAATCATGCAATATTACATTAAATTAAATTTGTGGGTTATCCAGAGGCAGTGGAGAGACACATGGCAGAAATAAGTAGGGTGAAGTATGTTACCAAAGGAGAAATGTATACCAGAAGAGGCATAAAAGATACCCTTAAAAAATGATTGTGGGCAAATTACTTAACCTCCCTGGGGCTCAGATTTCTCATCTGCAAAATAAGGGAATTTGACTTGATGGAATATAGCTTTTCTTCTAGCTTTAAATCAATGATATGTATGACCAGAAAATGAGTAAGTTGCAGAAGCGAAGCATAACACATGGCCAACCCATGTACTTCACTGGTACCTGATGATCTAAAGCAGAGAAGTCAGCTACTGCAAAACTTTAGAGCACAGACTGAACCAGATCAAAATGTAATCAGGAAATATTTAATAAAATAAATAAAAATACAATGTTATTTGCTGTTGTTGTTCAGTCGTTTTCAGTCATATCTGACTCTTCATGACCCCATTTGGGATTTTCTTGACAAAGATACAGGAATGATCTGCCATTTGCTTCTCTAGCTCATTTTACAAATGAGGAAATATAAGCAAACAGGGTTGAGTGACTTGCCAACCCAGGATCATACCGCTAGTAAGTGCCTGAAACTGGATTTGAACTCAGGTCTTCCTGACTCCAGGTGTGGTGCTCTATCCACTATACCATCTCATTGCACTCCCCAAAAATACAAGACAGAAAATGTTATTTTGTGGTTTTCTAAATCAACATGTACCTGCAGGGTTTCCTTTTCATTTGAGTTTGACACAACTATCTAAAGGATAGCTTCAGAACACTGGTTGGACCACTGTGGAGGATTTCTGGGAGGATATGGGCAAGAGTTGAGCAGGATAAAAAGTTATAGATGGGCTATGATATGTAGTGAGCCCATCTCACATCAATAACAGATATATCAAAGAATGAGAAGATTCTTTTTCTTAGTTTCACCACACGACCAGGGAAAAGGTTTTAGTAATAAGCCATGAACTGAGCTTTTATAGAAATGATTTTATTTTCCTCTTTTGATCCATATGCTTATTTTAAAACTTCTTCCTCAAAAATCGACTACATCGCTATTTAGTAAAATTAAATATCTCTGGGCTTCAGTTCTCTCACCTCTAGTAAGAAAATACACTTTTTTTTCCCCTGCCAATCTCAAAGAACTTGTGGTAGGAAAAGATATAGGAAAGATAAAGTCTGGAAGAAACTTGTCATTTCTTAGGCAAAGTGATCGATTTCAGGAAGTGATCACAGTGATCACCAAAGGAAGAGTTCTTGGGGATAATAATCATATTCACATTCATATGGAATTCTATGGTTTAAACAGAGCTTCCCTCACAACCACTCTGTGAGACAAATAGTCCAAGTATGACTATTCATGACATGGATGAAAAAACCTGAGGCTCCAAGGTATTAAATGATTTGTCCATAATAATGCAAATATTAGATATCTGAGAGAGGACTCAAACTGAAGTCTTCTTACTCCAAATTTAGCATCCATTCCACTATCCCAATCTGTCTCTTATCTAACATTATTTTGCTGTCGTTGAGTCATTTCGGTCATGTCTGATTCTTTGTTACTCCATTTGGGGTTTTCTGGGCAAAGGTGATGGAGTGGTTTGCCATTTCCTTTTCCAGCTCATTTTGCAGATGAGAAAGCTGAGGCAAACATGGTTAAGCGACTTGCCCAAGGTCACACAGCTATTAAGTATCTGAGACTGTATTTGAACTCAGGTCTTCCTGACTCCAAGCCCAGCCTTCCATCCACTGTGCTACCTAGCTACCCTCTCTAAAATTATAAGGATGACAAAATGGAGGTACAGAGAAATGAAACTGCTAGGAAGGGATAGAGCTATGAATATAACTCAGAGTTCTCAGTCCCATTCCAATGACCTTTCCACTATATCACACCTCTAGCATTAGTCTCATACATGTAAGGGGAAAAAGATACATGGCAAAAGAGAAAGAACAGAGGCTCTTAACCTGGGATCCATGAAATGTTTATCTTTTTAAAAATATTTTGATAACTGTATTTCAAAAAATTCATAATTATACATATGTTGTTTTATTCATTTTAAACCATTATTATGAAGAGGGCTCTACAGACTTGCCTGGACTGCCAAAAGGTCCATGAATCAAAAAAGATTAAGAACCCCTGGTATAGATGGAGCTGCACAAATCAGTTATCACTGCTGATGATGGGTCACTAGGGTTCTCTTTCTATGCTGAGAGTAGCACATCATTGCAAATAAGGCAGATGAGTAAATAATAAGAGATGAGATTTATATTAAGAATAGCATATCACCACAAGTAAGCCATATGAGTAAATAATAATAATACAATATTCATATAACATTTTGAGGATTTGCAAAACTTGTCATACGCTGTACATGATCTCACCTAGTGAAGTTGGCACTACAGTTACTGTTAGTCCCATTTTATAGATGAGGAAACTGAGACTGAGAGAGATTAAGTGACTTGACCTTACAAATAGTATCTGAGGCAGGATCCAAACCTATTTTTATTGACTACCATTGTTTCCTTTTTTCCATAGGGACTCTTTGTTGGCGGAAAATCCATTCATACTCTCAAAGAATGCAAACTTTCTGCATATCCAGGGATAAAAAAATGAAATTATTGGCATTTTTCGAAATCTGTTTGCACTAAAGAGAAGCATGAATTTCAATGGATGATTCTTCCCAGAGATGTCCACCTAGCTAAAGACCAAGTCTTGTCCTAGGGAACAGTAGGTTAGTACATAAATCAAGGACATGAATTTTGCACAAGTATGATGTGTTCTATTTTATCTTCAGCATTCTAAGAAATGTTGGGATGAGTAATTTTCCCATATTTGTGTATGGAATGAGAATTTTTTTTGGTGATAATCTTATCTAGTAAGCCACAGAGTACTTTCTTCACTGATACTTAGCAGTGTCCTTCAGAAGAAGGAAACAAAATCTGAACACTGTATTAAACTTACCATCATCTTCAATTTCTGCAACACTTCTAAGTAGAATTTGAAAAGAAAGCTGACAATGAGGGATCTTTTGTATTCCACCATTCCACCTGGAGCTGAGGCTGGGAGGAAAACTTCATCTAGAACTGACCTACAAGCTTCACCCAGCATCTCCTCACTCCAGGCTCTATGAGAAATAGATTTAAAAAAATAAAAAAGTAGAATTCAATACACACGAGTCATTAGCCTACGGATTTACATAGCCTACAGAACAAAGCATGGCTCTTGAAATAAACAACTAAAAGTTGTTATAATTGTGATTATGTTATGTTATAGGATAAGTCAAGCATTAGTTCCATTTCCCTGACCTTTATAAGAGGCCACAAAACAAAATTTTAAATGTGCTGAAAAGCAGTTGTCTAACACTATCTCTCTTTACTCCCTCTCCTTCTATATACATATATATATATACATGTATATGTATGTATGTGTGTGTATACAGACACACACACACACACACACACATACAGAGGGAGAGAAAGCATGTATGTGCATATTTGGCAGGCTATATTTAAATTGCACATGTTTTTTTCAACCTGGTAAATAGTCACTCTCCCAGGGCAAAGAATACATATTTCACTGATTTTACTTTCTTCAAAGCTGTTATTGGGAAACAGACTGATAAACTCATATGTATGTAAGAGCCGAATTCTTCGTATTCATTTGCAAGAGAGCCCTAAGGTATGCACATGTGCTCACACATATACACACAAACACACACATACATGAACACATGCTTGAGAATAGTAGAGGGGGGAAATCACTGGATTTAGAATTGGTGAACCTTGGTTAAAATTTTGCCTCTGCTATTTACAAGCTGTGTAACCCTAGGAAAATTGTTTAACCTCTCTGTACTTTATTTTGTTAGTACATCAAATGAGAAAATTAGACCAAATGATCTCTAATGTCCCTTCCAGCTCTAGAGGTTATGGTAATACCACTACTTGAGGTTCACTTTAGGCTTTACTAAGACAATATCATCCATATGTAACAATGAAACCTTAATTAAATTCCATACAATTCAGTGTAGATCCCATGTGTATTTTTCCGGGTAATCACAAAAAGAAATTATGGCTTTGATGAAAGGAAGACTTGGGTTCAAATACCACACCAGCTGTATGACCATGGACACGGCATTTTACCTCTTAGTGTCCTAGGAAACTCTCTGTTGTGCAGCTAAGTTGCAGGTCTGCAACATTTGCTAGAATGTAAGCTCCTTGGGGGGTGGGGGACAGCAACTGTTTCATTTTGGTTTCTGTTATCTACAGAACCTAGTACAGTACCTGGCACATGTTAGGTACTTAATAAATGTTTGTGGATTGATTGGTGGGAGAGTCTCCGCATTAGAAATTCTCTACACTGATGAACTCTTAGGTCTGAACTGAATAATGAATAAATGCGTGAATGAATCATGTGCTAGTATACTCAGTTCAACTCTGCTATTTCACCATTAAGTGACCATGGGTTTTTAACAGCAAGACCACCAAAGTGGCGGCTCTGGCAAATCCTACTAAGTTGGAAGGAATTCAAGTTTTGGCCCACTGATGAACTATTCCTGTTAGCCAAGGACTAGCCTAGTGTGGAGTAGGTCCTTAGCAGGAGCATGGCCCTAGTAGCTCCTGCAATTGTCTAATAAGGCCTGGAAGAGCTGCAATCAGTGTCTCTGGGAGAGGTACCCACACCAGTAAGACTTTTGAAGCAACAAAGGATTCTATGTTACAGTATATTAGAACTATCACATCATTACCTTCCTGTGAGTTTCTGGCAAAGTTTCTTAGCACAGACAGTGGTAGAACCAGTGCCTCCATAGAAAATAGAGATGTCTCTAATGATGTTTGTATCTTCTTCAAAAAGGACTCTCATTCCAGAAATAACAAATGCCGGGGCATTTTGTTGACGTGGAGCTTGTCGAAAGGCTGAGACAAATTCCCACTAAGGACAAAGATTAAGCAGAGAAAAACATTAAAATTGCAGGTTATTCAGTAGCTAAGACTATGTGCAAACATATGCATTCACACAGGCACACAATTTTGCTGGATGACTAGCCATTAACCTAGCTAGTAAAGTTTAATTTTTAAAAACCATGCTTCGCCTTCAGAAAATCACTCAGGGTTGTTTTTTTTTTAATCCAAAATTGGTAAAAAAAAGATAAAAAAAATTTTTAAAAAGATAAATTAAAAGGTGTTTATTCATTTTGTAAAAGGGTTCTTCACTTTACAAAAGAGATCCACAATATATTTCCTTTAGATAGCTATCTTCCACAGAGGATATAAAATATAAATGGTATAATGGAAAGTGAACCCCAAAGACTTGGATTCTAGGTCTGGTTCTGCCAATAATTAGCTGTGTGACACTAGCCATGTGACACACTTCATCTCTATTCAACAGCATTTCCTGTTTCAATATAATAATGACTGAATAATTTTATTTCTAAACAATTTTCCAGAAACATGAAAAATAAGATGTATCAATATGACACCTTTCCATCTCCAATTCCCAGTAAGGAATGCCTGAATTTCTTTTCCCTGCTCCCCCTCACTGATATATCTCAGATTTCCCTGAGTCCAGAATGAGAGGAAAGGAGGTAGGGAACAAATATTCATTGAGCACCTACTATGTGTCAAGCACTGTAATAACTACTTTACAAATTATTTCATTTGATTTTCATAACAACCCTGGGTGTTAAGTGCCATTGTTATCCCCATTTTTAGGTGAGAAAACTGATGTAGATAGAGGTTAAATGACTTGCCCAGGGTCTCACATCTATTAAGTGTCTGAGGATGGATTTACACTCAGGTTTTCCCGCCTCCAGGCCTAGCTCTCTATCGACTACACCATGTAGCTGCCTTAGATAGGTTAACGTGGACATGTCACATGTCATTCTCATGGGAAGAAGAACCGTGATTGCCTAGGTTCTTTACCATTGCCATGGACAAGTCAAGTCAAGTCAACAAGCATTTGTTAAGCACCTATTATGTGCCAGGCATTGTGCTAAATAGTGTACCTACAAAGAAAGGAAAAAAAAAAACCTCTCTGCTCTCAAGAAGCTCATCTTCTAATGTGGAAGACAACCTGCAAACTGTGTGCAAATGAGATATATATGGGACTAATTGGAGCTCATCCCAAAGAGAAGGCCCTAAGGCTAGTAGAAAAGGCTTCCAGCAGAAGGTTGGGCCTTCTGCAAATTAAAGGAAGCCAAGAGGCAAAGATATGGAAGAAGAGAATCCCTAAGCCTGGAGGGCAGCTAGTGAAAACACTCAGTAAGGAAATGAAATGTCATATAAGTGCTACATTATTAAGTCTTGCATTGCTTCTTAATAGAAAAATTTTCTATGCCTTCATCTAACCCCCAGGACAGGAAAAAATTATAATCTTCAAATCTTATTTAAAGGAAATAAAAGCAGCAAGACGTGGAACCAAGTATAGAAAAGTATCAAGTTAAAAAAGCAACTTTCTATTTTAAAAAGAGAGAAAAACGGAGGGAGAATAAAAAGAAGGAAGGGAAGGAGTACGGTAACAAATAACAGTATGTAAAATGAGTATAAGGTAACTGGAGTGCCTGAACTTCACACAAATTACTTGTAACAAAACATTTTCTGGAATTGAACCGCTTACTGTGAATACAGAAAGCCTACATCTTTCCCCTCCAAATTAGGTCTGATATGTAATTAAGTTGTTCATGTTAGGCTCTTTGGTAAAACCAAGAAATTCTTTACCTTCTTAGAATAGGGGATGTTCACTGAGATCAAGATTTCTTCTGGTTTGAGATCTGAACTTCGTGCCCTCATAAGAAATTGGTCATTTAAAGGAATTTGTCGTTTTCCATCTGTTGAAAAAAAATAGTAATTTCCACAAATTCTACTCTGTCCCTCCCTAAACCCCACCCCACCCCCTTTTTTTTTTCTGGAGGAGACTTGTGATTTTATTTGTGTAAGGAGCTTGCAGTGAGAAACTCCCTCTGTCAACGAAGATGGCATATTCTCTGGAACTTAGAGAGTTGTCTGGGGGCACTGAGAGGTAAAGTAATTTTTGAAGGATCACACCACCAGTATGCACCAGAGGGGCACTTGCACTCAGGACTTCCTGACTCTGAGGCAGGCTCAGTATCCCTCTTGTTCTGTCCTTCACATGATCAGATTCTGATAAATGAGGGAACTCATGCAACCATATACCAGAAGGAAAATTAATAATATCTAGCATTGGCATGCTGTTAAGGTCTCAAAGCTTAGGGTATTTTACAAAACATTATCTGATTTTATCCTCATAGCAACCCTGGGAGGTTGGTACTATTATTATTTCCATTTTACAGATGAGGAAAACTGAGGCAGACAGAGGTTCAGTGACTTGAATTCAGGTTTTCCTTATTCCAAGTCTAACACTTTGTCACCTAACTACATCAAAGGAAAAGATTAGTTGGGTTGGAGGGGAGGAGGTGAAGGAAAGAAGTTTTCTTCCTATCTCTAGCTGGTAATTAAATAGCCTCTTTTGATTTTTTCCCTTCCTTGCTAACACCCAAATAAACACATATATGTTCATTATCTAAGCATATATGAAATTCCTTTTGGTGGGCTGCAGTAGGGCTACTACTCATAGGAGAACCCAATAGCTAAACAATTTTCTAATTATACTCCTGAGAATACAGTCTGTTCCCATCATCCTCCATTCTCAACCACTTGGAAGTTTATTAACCAATATACTGCCAACATTTCAATATGCAGGTCAACTAGTCTGTTAATGTTTATGCTTACATGTCTAGCCCCAAGCTAATATTTTATAACCCTCACTAGTAATATCAGTTTCTGTAACTTCTCTCTTTGGAGTTTGTGGAACATTCTTGCATCCAAAAATTTCTATTCTTCATCTAGAAAATTCTGGGGATTAGGAGATATAAGGAAAGGACACTTAACAATTAGCAAGTTTATGAAGGAACTCTACACATATACAAGAGTGCTAGTTTATATTTCTAATTGCAGAATAATGGACTTAGGGTATGCCAATGGTTTTGGGCAGGTAGGCGGCACAGAGGATAGAACACTGGGCATGAAGTTAGGAAGCCCTGAGTTCAAATCCAGCCTCAGACATTTATTGGCTGTGTGACCCTGGGCAAGTCACTTAACCTCTATCTGCTTCAGTTTCCTTATCTGTAAAATGAGCTAAAGAAGGAAATGGCAACCACTCCAGTGTCTTTGCCAAGAAGCCCCTCTCTCTGAAAATGAGGGTCAGACACAAAAGAAACAAAAAAAAATGGTTTTGAGGCTTGCTGGAACAAGGAATTTTTTTTTAAATGTGCTACCAAATGCAGGAAAAGTGAGATGTCTGGCGAGATATCACAAAATTTAATGTGAGACAATTTGAGCCGCAGTGTGATATAGCTGCTAAGAAAAAGTTATTGTGATCTCAGATTGCCTTAATAAAGTATGGTATCCCATGCAAGGAAGATGATAGGACCTGCTGCAATCTGTCCTGATCAGACTGGCTCTGGAGTGGAGATATCAAATTCAAAAACTCCAGGTGCTCCTGAACCAGATTAAAAAATAACAGGGAAATGTTTAACAAAATCAATACAAAATAAAATACAACACAGATAATGTTAATTTGTGATGTCCAAAATCAATATGAAGCTGCTATCACTGCTTTAGAGTTCTGTGTTCAGGGGCAGCTAGGTGGCACAGTGGATAGAGCACCAGCCCTGGGGTCAGGAGGACCTGAGTTCAAATTTGCCCTCAGACACTTAACACTTACTAGCTGTATGACCTTGAGCAAATCACTTAACCCCATTGCCTAGCCAAAAAAGAAAAGAGAAAGAAAATAAAATAGAGTTCTGTGTTCAGATATGGGGATCACATTTCAAGAGGAACCCTAGAAGGAGGCCACCCAGGATGGTGAGGACACTCAAAAGCCTGTCATATGAAGGACAGTTAAGCGACTTGGAAATATTTGGCCTAGTAAACAGAAGCTCTGGTAAAAGAGCACAGGGCCACAGATTTAGAGTTGGAAAGGAATTAGTTATAGGTTATTTAATCTAAATCCCTTTATTTTACAAATGAAAAAACCAAGATTTAGAGAGTGATTTACCTAAAAATCATACCAATATTAAGTGTCATGGTCAGAACTTGAACCCAGGTCATCTGACTCTAAACCAGCACTCTTTCAACAAATAAATCCACCAAGGAATATCTATAAAAATGTCTACTGTGTTCTAGACACTTTCTACTGATCTATGCTGAGATCATAGGTGCTAGTTCTTTGGTTTCACTGATATGAGTAAATTCTGTTGATGAGATTCCCACTGTTGATGCAGGATGGCACTTTTCCTGAAATGTTTAATCTTAGAGAGTTACCCAGGGCACTGAGAGATTAAGTGTTTTTTCCAGGGTTATAAACTAGCACTTGTCATGGATAGGACTTGAACTCAGGTCATCCCGGATGGATCTGTATCAACTCTGCCATGATTTCTCCCACTTATATGAAAGCCAACTTCAAGTATTTGAAGGGTGGTATAGTGGATAGAGTGCCAGGCCTTACATCAGGAAGGTTCCTCTTCCTGAGTTCAAATCCAGACTTAGCCACTGACTAACTGTGTAACCCTGGGCAAGTCACTTAACCCTGTTTGCCTCAGTTGCCTCATCTGTAAAATGAACTAGGGAAGGAAATATCAAACCACTCTAGTGTCTTTGACAAGAAAACCCCAGATAGGGTCACAAAGAGTCAGACGTGACCGAAAAATGGCTCAACAACAGTCACGTGTAAGAAGCATTAAAATTATCACATGCAGATACAGAGAGATGCACTAGGACCAATGAATAAGTCATAGACAGATACTGACTCAGTATAAGGAACAGCTTCCTAACAATTGCTCCCCCAAAAAACAGTTGTTTCGAATTGTTAAAAAAATAAAATGATCTGGTACAGAGGGGGAGTAAATTCCACACTGGAAGAAATATTCAAACAAAGACTAGATAATCACTTACTGAGGGTCAAAGATTCAGGGCACTTTCAAGATAATCTAATGCTCTTTCATCGTTTTTCAGATAAGAAAACTGAGGACAAGTGAAGTCAAATGGCTAATGGTCATAAAGGAAATAAACAGTAAAGCTAGTATTTGTACCAGGTCCTTTGATTCCAAATCCATCACTCTTCACTATTCCAAGCAATCTCATTTCTTGACCTTTTTAAAGGAATGGTTGCACCAACTGAACACTCTCATTCTTGCCAAAGAATTCGGGAGCTCTGCATGTTGAGGACCCTACCTTTACTCATAGGAAAGCCATCTCATCTGATCCAAAATTAGTTCCATACTTTCAGATACAGACAGTGAAAATTCTTGAGCCAACAAATTCTTGTTATCTCATTATAATGGAACCAAACCTATTACGATGGGCTCAAGAAAGTCAACAAGGTGGAGAAAATTGGCTATCTCTGTATTATTTGTGTTTAAAACATCTCAGAAGACAGGGAATCCCTATAAGTACAATTGCCCACTTGAAGCTCTACATGGCTCTTTTTATAGCTTCTATGGCACCTATTTGAAATCAACATATGACACTGTCATATAACTGGTATGAATCAGAGTCCTGGCTCTTAGAACAGTTCTTCGTCACACAGTTCATGCATAACGCAGTCCTAACTTTGAGGCCAACTTTCTATCCACTACTAGGGGTGGGGAACTTGCAGCCTCGATGCCTCATATGACTTTCTGTGAAGTTTGGATTCAGTCAAAGGGTTGCACTTGAGGACCTAGAGGGCTACATGTGGCCTCAAGGCTACAAGTTCACCATCCCTACACTATACCTAAAAGGAAAAAGAAGCTGGACCAGTTCAGGGACTGAAATACAGATATACCTATCCAGGGCCTGTGAGATAGGAATTATTTCAGACTTACTGGTTTACATCAGAGATCCTTAACCTGGAGTCCATGAATGGGTTTTCTTTTGTTTTTTAAAATGTTTTTATGACTGTATTTCAATATAAGTGCTTTTCTCCATAATGCTATATATTTTATTTAACCATTTAAGAGCATTAAAGGGGTCAATAGGCCTCACAATACTGCCAAAGTGGTCCTTGACATGAAAATGTTTATTTCTTGTGATGATTTAGGTACAGTCCTACTTGAAAGCAGGAGGTGGGACTAGACCAGATAATCATTTGAAGTCCTTTCCTGTTCTATCGGTTTGATTTATCAGGGCTCCACCTCTGACACTTTCTTTTCTTTTTTTGGCTAGGCAATGGGGTTAAGTGACTTGCCCAGCATCATACAACTAATAAGTGTTATGTGCCTGATGCTGGATTTGAACTCAGGTCCTCCTGAATCCAGGGCTGGTGCTCTATCCACTGCACCACCTAGCTGGCCCTTTCTGACACTTTGTATGCTCTTTCTTATAACTTACCTTTTGAAGCCAGATTAAGGGTACAGTTACCCACAGCCAGAAGGGGATTCAGATCTGATGTTGAATGTCTACTGATGATGCTGCCCCCTAAAGACTTTGTAAAGAAGACAAAAGTTGGCATCTTTATTCCATTACTAATACATACTTAAAAATACAAATGCAAAAAGAATTAACCAAGGTTTGGGGACTTATACTATCTCTTCCTGATAAAACTGAACATGTGTCATGGTAGTGCTGATAGCAATCACATTACAAGGATTAGCATAGAAGAGAGAACACCTACGGCCACATTTCTGATCTGTGATCCAGCTAGTGTCCTCAGATGCTTTAAAAGAGCCCCGTAAGTCTGAGTCTTCTCTGCTGGAAGCTCCAAGACCACATCAGTCAGGATATCTTTCAACTGGGCTAGGCTACAACCAGCACCTATTGTCAACCCTGAAATCAAGACATTTAAAATCAATAAGATCTAAGCAATGTTAGTTACCTACCCTTGTCACAGAATCATATGATAGATTCAAGCTTTGGATCAGAAGAAAACTATCATGGTATTTTATTGCTAAGCAACAGATGAGGCACTTCAATGAAAATAGAAAGGAAGAACGAACACTTTGTAGGCTGGCAAATTTATTTAACACTACCTATTAAGCCTGGTTGATACTGCATAGCTATAGTTAAGAGTCCCTTAATCATAAGCTGATTATTCAATACTGAAGGATAACTTAGTCTCAAGATTTGTCAATTGCTAAAGAGAAGATAGCAAGGAGAAAAGTGACTACATTGTTCATACCCTTGACTGAGTAATTCTACTACTGGGCCTGTACGCCAAAGAAAATGGAGTAAAAAAGAATGCTTTGAACAGTTAGCAGCATTTTTTTTGTGATAGCAAAAAACAAAACAAAACAAAAACTGGATATAAAATCCAGTGATTGAAGTACAGTTGAAAAAAAATTATGCTATATGAATACAAGTTAAATATATTGCTCTAAGGAAAATGATAACTAGATGAAATTCAGAGAACCATGGGAAAACTAGTATGAACTGATGCACAGTGAAATAAGCCCAACCAGGAGTACTATCTGCACGATGTAAAATGAAAACAACACTAAAAGGCAACCAAACTCCAATTAACTGTAATGACCAATACTGGTTTTAGAAAACAGCTGATGAAACACTCCCACCTTCTCATGGTAAAGAGGTAGGGGCTATTAGTGTAGCAGGTGGTAAATGCGCTCAAAGGTGATCTTTGTATCAGATTGTTTTGTTTAACTGCTTTTCTTTGTTACAAAGATTGGTTTGATGGAGGCATATTGATATATTGAGAAATGACATGTGAAAAACAAAAAGGAATCAATAGTTGGGTTGTTTGGTTTGTGGGTTTTTTTTTTTGTTGTTGTTGTTGTTTGTTTTCTTTAAGAAGAGATAAGACTTAACTGCCAAATTTTCTCTTTGTACATTATAATAACCAGGAAGAGTTGTTACTTTTACTTCCCCATTAGGCAGAATAAATCATGTGCTTAATGCATCATAAGCCAATAATCAGAGACTCTAAGAACTCACCATTGTCTAAATAATTTACAGCATTCAGTTCTGCAATTCCATCAGGAGATATGATAACTGGGTGAAAAATCCCTTTGAACTTCATATCAGGTCCTAAAGGGGTAAAAAAATAAGAATAAGACTTTAAGGAACCAAAGGAATTGTCTTTCGAATCTTGAAATCATGGTAACAGTTGATGAATGACAAAAACATCAGGAGTTCTGTTGCTTCTTTTGAAAGCATTCATTGCATGAAGGGTCATTCAAAACCTTTTGACCATGTCCACATGGAACAAGCTCCCTAGTTTCTACGTACCCACAGTGGTGTTTCCCATGACAATTGGTGCATCTGGATACTTGGCTTTCACTTCCAGAAGGTCTCTTAGTGTTACAGGAGAAATCCAGGTTATTCGCTCCCCATTGAAAACCCTTGTTCTTTTAGGTTGTTTCTCAGCCATGTTCTGGTGGGAAAACAATAAAACTTCAAGATTATATTGTGATTTACACATCTTGTCTCCTCTACATTTTTGTTCTATTCTTGGACTGTTCGCCTTCTTTAAAGGAGTAATGAAAGTCATTTGTAAAAATTACAATAGTTTGACTCTCTCGGGGAATGTGAACACAAAATTTTAACAAAAAGCATTAGGCCAAAAGCATTACAAGATTTTTTTTCCCTGTTTCAAGGAAGTATTCCCACATAGCGTCTAATAGCAGCATGTTTAATGAGTATACCTCTTGAAAATAAAAAAGTTTCCCATATTGTGACACGTGTATGTAAATAGGTTAATAATTTCTGAGAAATAATCTTATTTAGGAGATAAAAGTGGGAATAGTGAACATATAGATAAATTAGAATTGTGGCTGCTATATTGAGTGACATAATCTCATGACATGTTCCACTGACAATGGCCTGTGAATTGTCTAGTCTTTCCCCTTTCTGTCCTTTCCTCCCCTTGAACACTGACCCAGAATGTTGACTACATTATTATTCACCTCCAAGAAGGAGCCTAGAAGATTACCCATTGCTTTGACACCTTGATATCTTATCATGAATTCTTACAGCATAGGTACAGCTGTGCCTGGCTTACCATTAGTTCAGGAGGGAATATAAATTCCTGGGTTGGATCCAATGGTAGAAACTTCTCTTCTTGAAAGAGTTTTTCACATGTCTTGAAAGAGAAAATCCCAGTGGTTCTATTTAGTATTCCTCTTGGCTGAGCAAAGAGTTATAAAATAGACCCCAGCAGCTCAAAACTGATACCAAGACTTCCCCTGTTGGGCCACCTTCTCTCCATCTCTGGATGTGAGTGTCTAGGGACAGCTAGAAGCACCAGCGACAACACAAATAGCATGATCTGACTGACGGAAAATTACTCTGTATTTTGTAACCTTTCTCATCTCTCTCTTTTTACTTTGTGTCTCTCTCCCCTAATCTTCCTAATTTTGCTTTGCTATACAGTAATTTGCACATAGTAATTTACATGTGTTTGCAGGATTGAATTAAATTACTTCTGGTCCTCTCCTCTCTTTTCACTTTTCCCTTTCTCTAACCACCTGCTACTATCCTCTTCCCCATTCCATCCCCTCTGTAAGAAGAAAGAAATGATAACAACCACAAAAAGAAAATGAAAAGCTAAATAGGAAAAAGAAAAGCTAGTTATGGAACCTTACAAGAGTCACTTCGCTAGCTTGTCTCCTTTTAACTAGAAACTCTAGGGGCAAAAGTATGGCTTCTTTGCACTATGCATGGTGCTGAGTTTATGTAATAAATTTCAAAGAATTATAATGAATGTTAACAGTAAGATTTGTCATTTGATTTCTCAGGTGAAGTTTGTGTCCAGAGTTGAGCCAGAAGTCCTGGCTCACTCCTTCCATAGTTGAGAAAACTAGAGGAATAAAAAGGCCTTTTTTTTTTTAATGTCTTTTAAAAAATCGTTAGCCACCAGTGAAATCAAAAAGGTCTTTCCTTTTAATTAACTTTCTCTTTGCATTATAGCAGTCATAGGGTACTTAAAAGAAGCCTGTATAAAGGAAGAAAGTGATTACAGTTCTTAAAAGAAAATCAACTGATTTGAGCCCCTCTTTCCACTGAGAGAGGTTAGGAAGCAAAGCGGAAAGGGAAAATCTCCCACCCTTTTTATTCATGAAGCAGTAAATGATGCCATAAAATGAGCTTGACTGGCTAACATGATGCCTTTGAATTAACAATTAAATACAGCATCAAGGAGATACTTTTTCAGAGCGTTTATCCTACGGAAATCTGTGGAAGAGGCAAAGGTTGTCTTCTGCACCTACTGTCTCCTGTTTAGCGACCTTGCTTTGAAAGAGGTAACACTAACCAAGCACCTTCCTATCAAAACTATCAGATCTCTCCTAAATAGGGGTTAATCGTTTTAATAGGAAGGTCATTAACAGTCAATACAGACATCACATTTCCCTAACCAGAGGGATTTGAATTTCAACAAGAAACAGTCCTTTAGCCAAAAGCAATGCTCCTCTAAGAAGAAGGGTGGGATATAATTGGGTTAGAGAACCTTCCTGGGCCTCTCAAATTACACCATATAAGCAGCCATCTCTTACGCCTAAAGGTAAGGCATGCCCATGTAGAGTCCTAGGGAGACCTTCAAGACAAGTTTTAATTTAACTCACCCTATTTCCTAGCTCAGAGTCCAGCAATTCACTTTCTTCTTGATCCAAGCAACAGTTGCCATTTTCCTTACTCTGACAGCAATCAGTAGCCTAGAAAGAAACAAGAATGAAGTTGCTACTAATTGCCAGAAGCTTTAAAGGAAAAGAATTGTGGTAGCAATTAATAATTAGAGGCTCCCCTATCATATTTATAAAGTATAGTGCATAGGAGTGAGAGACTGTACAGTGTAGTGCATGGTGGGCCTGCTTCTGACACAGATGAACTTTTGGATCATGGGCAAGTCATTTAACTTTTCTGTGCTTCAGGCTGACTGGTCAAGACTTACTTGCTGAACTGGTGGTAGGCATTCTAGATCACAGATCCAGAACATCTTTTCCCACCCCAACCCCCTCCCTTCCAAAAAATGAAAGTATCAGAGTCTCTGATTCTTATTGAGGAGGAGAGAGCTATATCCTATCCTCTATTTGTTTGAGCTATGTTTTGCAATATATAAGCCTACAGACTAAGCATACTGTTTGACATCCAAATGCTAGTTTTTTGGTTTTTTGTTTTGTTTTTGCAAGGCAATTGGGGTTAGTGACTTGCCCAGGGTCACACAGCTAGTAAGTGTCAATTGTGTGGTCTGAGACTGGATTTGAACTCAGGTCCTCCTGACTCCAGGGCCGGTGCTCTATCCACCGCACCACCTAGTTGCCCCCAAGTGCTAGGTTTTTAATTACTCAGAATTAAAATAATCAATTTCATATTACTGAAAAGATGTGGTGGATAGAGAACTGGACTAGGGACCAGCAAGGCCTGGGTTCAAGTTCCATCTCTGACAAATACTCTGTATATGAACCTTAACTTCTCAATACTCCCTGTATTGTGAAAGTTCCTCACCAGGAGCTCTCTGCCAGTTCTATGATTGAGCCTAATCTCAGAAAGATAAATATTTGGAAGCTAACTGCACACGTGTTTTCTATTAGGGCCAAAATACGGTTTGGGTTTTTTTTGTTTGTTTGTGTTTTGCATTCAGTACATAGTTTGGCTCAGAAATAAGTGTTATGCAAAAGTAGCAAAGTCCTTAGTTTTAAAATTGCCCAATAGTTACACTTTCAGAACCAAGAGAGTACAAGAAATGTTGTATGTAAAAAGGAATATTTTGAAATAAGATTAAAGTCCTCAGGGAGCACAGCTCATTTTTCTTAAACCAGTAATCTCTGACCTGGACTTGGAAGAGATTTCTCCTAGCTTTTGCCAACCACCTGCTACAAATCCAGCCTTCTGTTTACCCTCTCTGACATTGCCATTCAATCTCCCACCACTGCATAGGCTATCTCCTTCCTCCTCTTCTCTTCTTGGAACCACTAGCTCCCTGTAAGGTTTGGCTCAAATGTCACTTCCTTTAAGAAACCTTTCCTGAGCTCCCTAGTTGTAAGTTCTTTACCCCACTTCCTTCAAGCACTGTGATTCCTTTTTGGTATAAATCCTGTACTTATTAATATGTGAATTTATTTTATCTCCCAAGTAATCAATCAGCAAAATGTATTAAATACCCTACTATGTGACAAGGCACTGTGATGTGGTGTGCATTTTAAAAATAAACCATTCTTGACTTCAAAGAACTGACACCATCTTGAGACTTGAAGGGGTCGTGTGTGAGCAGTAGGGGAAAGAAAAGAACGGCATGCAAATAAAAGTATACAAAATGTATACAATACTTATATTCATAAGTGTATACAAAAAATGCTTAAAGTTGAATCTATATGTAGAGCCTATATCAGATTGCACACTATCTTGAGGAGGGGAGATGAGAGGGAGGGGAAGAAAATTTAGAACTCAAAATCTTATGAAAGTGAATGTTGAAAACTAAAAATTAATTCATTAATTAATTTAAAAATGCATAAAGTCAATAAAAGGTAGTGGGGGCAGGGGAACTGGCATCCTGGGAGAATGAGGAAAGGCTTCATGTAGAAGGTGGCAGCTGAGCTGAGATTTGAAGGAAACAAGGAATTATATGATGTGGGGGTTAAACAGGGAGTATATTAAAAGTAGACAGCCTGTGCATAGGCATGGAAATAGGAGAGTGAGCGTTTCATGAGAGAAACAGCAAGAAGGCAAGTTTGGCTAAGCTATAGAGTATGTGAGAAGTAGTAATATATTATAAGGCTGGAATGGGAGGTTGGAATCAGGCTGTAAAAGGTTTTAAAAGTGAAACAGGGAAGATTGCATTAGACATTAGGGGGAAAAAAACAGGAAGCCATTGGGGATTATGAAGCAAAAGTGAGGCAAGATCAGACTTGTACACTGGCGAGCTGGTAAACGTTTAATAACCGGCTCTCTGGGAGGAGAAACACACATACAGAATTCTTTTCAGTTTAATCTGCCTTCTCAACATTGTCCTCCTTGTTTTCATAAGTCTAAATAATCGACAACACAATAAACCATTTGCTGATTTCCCAGGTGTAAAATGCTCATGCTGAAAATTTAAATCATGCTTTCTTGGGCCAATACAAGCCGGCTCTAGGACAGTCCCTAGACCTGTACTTTAGGAATATCAATTTGGCAGCAGTTTAGAGGATGGGTTAGAAAGAGGAAAGACTTGAGAACAGAATACCTGTTAGAAGGCTTTTGTGACGGTCCAGGCAAGAGGGGCTGAAAGTACAGAGGGTAGCCCTGTGAGTGGAAAGATGCGAATGGGTACAAGAGATGTGAAGAAAGAAAGACCAGATTTGGCATCTGATTAGAAACTCTTTGGGGAAAGTTAGGGGTTGAGGATGGTTCAGAGGTTTTGAACCTGAGTGCCGGGAACAATGGAGATATCCTTGGGGAAAAAAAACAAAACAAAACAGTAACATGTAAGCTCCTTCAGGGAAGGAGCTTTCTCACATTTATTATTTGTCTCCCCAGTTCTGGACACATAGTAGGCATCTAATAGTTACTTGTTGACTAATGGATAAAACAATTCTGTACAAGGGATTTGAATCAAAAATAGGGGAGTTAGGCAAGGAGCTAAAAATAAAGCTGTGACCATCTCAACAGCATTAAATGCTTCCACTAAAGTCAGAGCAATGTCTCAAGCGAGACAAACAGTATCATAATAATAATGATAATTTTAACAACTTACATTGCCATAGCACTTTTAAGTTTCACAAAGTAATAAACATATATGTGCACACATAATATAACATATAATATGACTATTATATAATAATAACAGATCTAACCATATCTCCAAATCATTCTCCCTGCTATCTCCACCCTGACTCCTGCATTTTAATTAGCTAGGGAAAATTAAATAAAAAGATTTTTTTCCCTTCTTACTTCACAGAAAGTCTTGCAAGCATCTACTATGGGGCGATATCCCGTGCAACGGCACAAGTTACCTGAATGAGAAAAACAATGCACCAGTGTTAATTGCACATATGGACTTGAGTTCCAGTCTTCCCATATATTGCCTAGTTTGCTACCTACAGTGAGAAATGTGTAAATCTAAATCAGGGCACTGATGAAAACTTTGGGTCAAGCTCTGTCCTCTATGTCAGGTACCTGGAATGTCTGATGGAGAATACTGGAAGAAGAGAAAAGAAGGCCACACATTCTGACAGCTCCAATATATATGTTGTTCTCTAATATCAATGGACCTATGACCTTCTCAACGTGGGTTTTTTCTCCACTAGTGCAAGTCACAATCAGAGAATCAAAGGATTACAGTTTTACGGCTAGTAGGGAGTTCAGGGTCTAGTCCAGGGGTGGGGAACCTCTGGCCTTGAGGCCATACATGGTCCTTTAGGTCGTCAAGTGAAGCCCTTTGACTGAACCCAAATTTCACAGAACAAATCCCCTTAATAAAAGGATTTGTTCTGTAAAACTTGGACTCAGTCAAAAGGCCCCACCCAAGGACCTAGAAGGCCACTTGTGGCCTTGAGGCTAAAGGTTCCCCACCCCTGGTCTAGCCCAAATACTTCTTTTCTATATACTAAAAAAAAAAAAACCACACACACATATTTACATTTTTTACATACTAAAAAAAAAATCCATTAAATGACTTGCCCAGAGTCACACAGAAAGTGGTAGAGCCAAGTAATCCATCTATGGCTCCTAGTTTTATATAATTCTTGTCCAAGCCTTTCAATAAATCTTCACACAGAGGATACACTCAATATACTAGAGACCTGCCTACAGATTTTTTACCATTTGGTAGATATCTCTCATTTCTTTCTCTTACTACATGACTAGCTGGCCTCCTTTCAAAAATTATTTCCATAATTTCCATAAATTTCCACAAACTTAATAAATTAACTTGGATCACAGACTCACAAAATTTTAGATTTGGAAGGGACTCCAGTAACCACCTGATCCAACCCCTACTCAAAAAGAATCCCCAGTATCACATTCTTGACAAGTGGTTATCCATCATGTCTGAAGACTTTCAATAAGGCAGCACCTACCACTTCTTAAGGAAGCCCACTCTACTTTAATAGCTAACATTTATATAGCTAGCATTTATATAGTGCTTACTACGCATCAGGTACTGTGCTAAAGACTTTACAGTTATTATCTCCTTTGATCCTCACAACAACCCTGGAAGGTAGGTGCTATTCGGATCTCCATTTTACAGATAAGGAAACTGAGGCAAACAAAGGTTAAGTGACTTGCCCAGCTAGTAAGTGTCTGAGGCTGGATTTGAACTTAAGTCTTTCTGACTCCAAGCCTGGTTTTCTACTCACCGTGTCATCTAGCTGCCAGCTCTCGTTGTTGGAAGTCTTTCTCAACATTCAGCATTAGTTTGCCTCTTTGCAATATCCAACAGCTGTCCCTGAACCTTTGGCACCAGACAGAAAATTCTCTTCCTTCTTGTGAATGATCACCCTTCAAATACTGGAAGACAGTGACATTATCTCCCCCCGACTCTTCTCTTCTCCAAGAAAAATATCCCTTTGACTGATCCTCTCATATGACATAGACTAAAGGTCCTTCACTTTCCTGCTCATTCTCCCTCATGTGCCCTCTGAACTGGCAGGGATTAAACCCTTTACGCAACTCTAAATGCAAATATCACTGGATTTTCCATCTCATAGATGTGAATACTTTTCCCAATGGGGCAGATCAAAATCCAGCCATACTTTCTTAACCTCTACATGTCCTTCCATAAAGGTTCATTCTGTTTTCTGGGGAAGTTTTCTTCTCAATGAGGGAGCTTAACCTTTTTTGTGTCATGGGCCCTTTTGGATGACTGGTGAAGCCAATGGACCCCTTCTCCAAACATTTTTAAATGCATGAAAAACATAGGTCTATAAAAGGAAATCGGTTATATTAAAATCTAGTTTTTAAATAAACATATTGTTATCAAAATGTTTTAATAACAAGTTCACAGACCCCCCGAGTAAGAATCTCTGCTCTAGATTCTGTGTTACTGCATGGGTTCCAGTGGAAATTATGGGCAATTCAATGACAATAAATCCAGCAAATAGATTTAAGGCCCTTCAAAATCAATCTCCAGTTTACTTTTTGAGCCTTGCCAAACTGGACTACTAACAGTTCTCCAAACTCCATTCTATCTCCCACTTCCCTACATTCCCTTCAGTCATCTTCTATACCTGGAGTGCCATTATAGATAAAGTACTGGGCTTGAAGTCTTGAAGACCTGGGTTTTAATCTGACCTCTGACACTAATTAGTTCAGTGGCCCTGGACAAGTCACTTAACTTCTATCTACCACAGGCATTTCTCTTAGCTAATAAGTCTTAGGCTAAATAACCTACTTCCTTTTCCAGTCACACATCTCTTGATGTCTCTTTTATGATGCTTTCAGTGTACAGTTTTTGACAGGAATATACTTTAGCTGACTTAGATCCACAACATCACTGCAATGCCCTCTGATGACCTGCAAGTTTATTTCCATGGTATTCCATGATTTTGAGTTGCATGGTACAACTAGAAGAATATTGAGGCTAAAAAGGATGGATCTTTGTTTCAGAGAAAAGTTTGAGGTTATTAATAATAACATGCAAATAAATAAAAATAAAATGCAAATCAGCTCTTCCTTGTTTATTCTGGACCTATTCATTGTCCATCTAGAGAAGAAGCTCTTAACCTGAGGTCTATGAATTCATTTTTTAAAATATTTTGATAATTGCATTTCAATATAATTTCCTTTACAATCCCATATGTTGTATTGATTTTATGGAAAGATATTCTTTTGAGAAGAGGTCTGTAAGTTTTACCAAACTGCCAAAGGGGTCCATTACCCACAAAAAAGGTTAAGAACCCCTGGTCTAGAGTATCTGTCCAAGATTTTTGTACTGATGGACCAGCTTTATGCGCTATCCACCCAAATACTTGTCATAGGCTGGACAAGAGACAGTCTTGTTTTTCCAATACAGATAGTTCTGAGTGATGGAGAATTTAATCTAGGAGACACAACAGTGTCTCTGGGCTTGATGTAATCTGTACAATTCCATGCATTGACAGGATAATCTGAAAGACATTGTCATCTACCAGGAATCCTTCTTCCATTTGGATTCTACACAACTCCATGACAGTGGTATATGCCTTTGGTGAGTATAGCTCTCTCTAACAGAACTTTATATTAAGGATATTACCTCTGCTGCATTTTTCAAGGACTCATATGACTTCTCATATGTGTTGGAGGCATATTGTTGGAAGAAGGCTTTGCAGAATCATTTGCAGAATCAAATGGCTTTTAATAGTCAACAACATAAACGACAGAGGGATACCACAATTTAACTTTTTTACCTTTCAGTCATTTCTGTGACTATAAAGCTCTTGTGTGGTCACATATAGAGTACCATTTATGAAAACCTCTCTTTCCTTCTCATATATGCACCAATACATGTGTAGATCATGCTCAAGATATTTTTTAGTTATGGGAAATTAGGCATATAGGTCAGTACTGTTATTTTCTCATCTGCCTTTTCTTTAATGTAGTAATTGTCTGTGATTTGTTTCCCCTCACAATCATTTGGAATTATCCCCTCTTACATGTATCTTTAGCACCAATTCTTCAGTGTCCTCAAAATAGTTTCATTTTCAGGGTGAATTTTCTTCTCTGGGTACAGCTACTCTAGTCTACCTGTTATTCCCATCTTTGTTGTTTTTAGTGCCATTTCCACTTCCTCCTGAGCACATTGGGAACTGGGATGTAAGCATCTAACTTTGGTGGTTCCACTGTCATTGATGAAGGAAAGAGTTTTATATGGAGATTTTGAAAGCTATTTTTCACTTTTTGTCTACCCATTGTCCTTATAGTTCCTTCCTTCATTGTTCTCAGGATGATCTAGGTTAACTAGATCTCTCATCAAACTTCCTATACACCATTTTTCTCCTTTCTATTATTTTTTGCTGTTTTTATACAGCAATATTGGTCATGATCTTCCACCATCCTCCTTCATAAGATGTTACAAATGGATTAATATCCTAACCGTGTACTGCCAAAGGCTGCTAGGACTTCTAATTTAGCAAGGAGATCAATATTTTGCAGCCTGAGGAAGTTTCTAGAAATGTCTATTTTGCTTATTGTGTTGATTTACACTGATTAAAATTCTTTATGAAAATGATAGTCTGTTCTTTTACCTAATCCATATTTTTTTTGTTTGGGGCGGTTTTAATTGAATCAGTGATTTTTAAACAAGTAAAACAGAACTGGAACATCTTAAGCTTTTAATATTTTCTTTATAGGTTTACCTAGAATCCTTTTTACTGAGAAAACTATAGTGGATGTGATGATAGTGGAGTAGAGGAAGTAATGCAGTGAGGAGCTCCCCAGCAAAACACCTCCAAACATATCTAAAAAATGCACCAGACCAAATGCTGATGGGGAAAGATCACAGTGAGTCATCTGTCCAGCCCAGGTTAGCATAGGGAGACAAAGAGGTTTGCAGGCAATGGGGACGTGGCTCAGTAAAGAACATGACAAGCGTCGAACATTCCAGCACCCAGGGAGAATCTATGACCTGGGGAAAGAAGGGGTACTAAACCCACACTGGGGCACTCTTACTCTTGTAACTTTGTTGCCTATTACCCAGTCTAGGTTACAGATGCAGGGGAGACTGACAAGAGGGCTTAAGCCCTCCCACCCACTCAAAGCTGTCTCAAGCCCTGGGCAGCATACCAAAGCATGAGCAAGTTCAGAAGCAGACAGCAACGTTGTGGCTCACAGCCCAGGAGCAGAGTAGGGTTTTAGTTTCAGCTTCTAGTTCAACCTGATGCCTGCAGAGGAATAACCAGGACAGAAATCTCACCACAAAGGGGAACTTGTAGTTCTACAGGACTGAAAAAGCATAGCTTCCCAGATGGTTGACAGTGGCTGAGTCCAGCAACATTCTGCTGCAATTGCTCAGATATAAACCCAGGTCCATAATTTGCAAAGCTCAGACTTGGAGTGGGGGTGGGGAGAGAGCAATCAGACTTTATCCTGAATAAGGCCATCTTAAAAGCACTGAAAGCTCTCGAGTCCCAAGTCTGAGCTGTCCCTGAGATTCAAGAATGCGGTAATAGGACCAGCCCAGACCTTCCCTACAGCAATGCATGAAGCCTGGCTCTAATATCGTCTGCAGTCAGCAAGTGAACTGGAAGAATGAGGAAAAAAAACAAACAATAAAAAAAAAAGCTATTTTCTTGACAGAGACGCTCAGGACCCAAACCCAGAAGAAGAGAATGACTCCAAAATATCTAAAAGCAAGTGTCAAAATAAAAGTTTAGGCACAAATTCAACTAGAATTCTTGAAAGAGATGAAGCAAGAGTTAAAAAGAGCAAAAAATGTTTTTGTTTATGAAATGACAGAGCTAAAGAAAAAAATGGGGGGAAATGGGAATTGTGGATGAAAGCCTTGGAAACAGAGCTAACTTGGCAGAAGAGATACAAAATCTTGCCCAAGAAACAAACTCTCTGAAATTTAGAATGGATCAAATAAAAGCCAATGACTTGATGAGGCAATGAGAAATATTAAGTGGCAGCTAGGTGGCACAGTGGATAAAGCACTGGCCCTGAAGCCAGGAGTTCCTGAGTCCAAATCCAGCCTTAGACCAAAATTTGATGCTTATTAGCTGCGTGACCCTGGGCAAGCCACTTAACCCCAATCGCCTGAGAAAGAAAAAGAGAAATATTAAAACAATGTGAAAGACTAAAAAGAAAATGTAGTTTCTGCCTTTTAAAAATTTTTATTGGTGAGGCAATCAGGGTTAAGTGACTTGCCCAGAGTCACACAGCCAGTAAGTGTCCTGTGTCTGAGGCCGGATTTGAACTCAGGTCCTCCTGATTCCAAGGCCAGAGCTTTATCTGCTGCACCACCTAGCTGCCCCATACTTTCTTTTTTTTCTGCCTTTTAAAATGTTTTTATTAAAAATGTAATTTCATTGCAGGAACAACTGACCTGGACAACAGATCAAAAGGGGAAAACATTAAGGACCATCTGACTACCTGAATTCTGTGACCAAAACAAGAGCTCAAACATCATATTTTCAAGGAGTTGTAAAAGAAAACTGCCCAGATCTCTTGGAATCAGAAGGCAAAGTGGAGAGCAAAGTAGAAACAGAAGAATCTACCAATCACCTTCTGAAAGAAACTCCAAAATGAAAACTCCCAGGAATGCTATAACTAAAATTCAGAACTTCTGGTTAAAATAAAAAGTACTGAAAGCAGCCAGAAAGAAAGAATTCAAGTACCAAGGATCCACAGTTAGGATCACACATGATTTGCCAGTTACTACTATAAAGGAGTAAATAATTTTGAATTCTATATTTCAGAAGGCCAAGGCTATAGACCTTTCTTTCTTTTTCTTCCTTCCTTCTTTCTTTCTTTCTTTCTTTCTTTTTCTTTCTTTCTTTCTTTCTTTCTTTCTTTCTTTCTTTCTTTCTTTCTCTTTCTTCTTTCCTTCCTTCCTTCCTTCTTTCCTTCCTTCCTTCCTTCCTTCCTTCCTTTCTTTTTCTTTTTTTCTTTCTCTTTCTTTCTTCCTTTCTTCCTTTCTTTTCAAGTCTTCTTGTACAAAATGACTAGTCTGAAAATGTTTTACATGATTGCACATGTATAAACTATATTAGATTGCTTACCATCTCAGGGAGGAGGTAGGGGAGAGAGGAAGAGGGGCTAGAATTTGGAACTCAAAACTTTTTTTAAAATGTTTAAAAAATTTTTTTAACGTGTAATGGGGGAGGGGGAAATAAAATGTTATTTAAAAAAAGGAAATCTTCTGCTGTGAGTCTCCAGTCGTACTTGTTGGAATTAATCATGGAAAATTTTAGTGTATGGGTCACTTTTTTCCCATAGTTTTGTGTAAACCAAAATTCTTACGTAATTTTTTAAGGTCATCAGAGGATTCTTCAGTTAGGTCTGTCCAAAGTAAAAAAAAAAAAAAACACAAAACTATGCTGGGTGGGGCAGGGTCATTCACCAGTGCTATGAGAGAACTAAATGACTTGGGTCAGTTTGGGTTTCTGGTTTCCAGTTTTTAGCACTACTAGAGGCAGATAGCACCTTTTCCTTCAATGCTAAGGAGGTATATCTTGGTTTTAAATGTGACCTTAAGTAGTTTGAAAGGATACCCTAGTGTGAAGTTGATTTTGATTTTGAAGGCTCCCTTATCAGTTATGATAAAGTCAATAAGTTAATTTCATCAACCTGGATTTAACAGAGGTTTTTAATTTCACATTTGCAGATTTCTTCCAGCTCCTTCATCAACCTCCTACTGGCCACAATTTTAGGTCTAATTCTCATTTTTATATGAACAGCATGTTTAAAGCAGGTCAACTTGAACTTGTTTCAATTATATAACATAGCTTTGCATTTTCATTCTTTTTCTATTTTGCTATTAGTGCATTTTTCTTTTCTCTAACACGTTGATGATCTAACTGAACATCGAGAACTGATTCAAAAAGACTACTACTTTGATCATTTCCTGTCTGATTAGATGTATTTAATTTTGTTTTTTGTAAAGTTATGTGACATCGCTCTCATATTTAGTGCTTCTCTATTGAAGAAAGTATTTATGACATATAAGCATTAGGCTTCTGTGTATAAACCTTTGAATGTTTTTGTTCCTTAATCCTGAGCCACATTTTCCAACATATTTCTCATTATCCACTCTTATGCCCACCTTTGCACTGATACGATCAAATTAAAAAGCAGATGATGGCTTAGTTAGGATGGTCTTGTTATGTTCTTCACAGAATTCCTCTAGCTCCCTATCTTCTGCAGCTGAGATGTAGAAGATGTAGATGATAGCTCAGTTGTAGACTGAGCTATTTCTAAAAACAGTCTTGAAGAAAATTGAATTGATACCTACCTCCAAGAGCTTCCATTAACTGATCCATGGAGGGTTTTGGAATATTTCTCAAAAGAGAATACAAAGACATCACCATTCCAGGACTACAGAATCCGCACTGAGTCCCATGGCATTTGGCAATTCTTTCCTAGGATAACAGACAACAGTGAGTCCCACTTAAAACCTATGGTATCACTGATTTCTCCTTTCTACCATTGACTTACAGAGCTGAGAGTGTGATTACTAGTTCACAAATATCAATATAAACACTGTATTAGCACTCAAGTAGTCTCAACACAAGTTACTATTAATGCAAGGAATTTAATCAGAACATTTGTATCATCCTTCATACACAAACATGCTGCTACTGATTCACTGTCTGTAAGAAGTGAACTTTGATTTGTTCTTCTTTGCTAGGCAGGATCAGGGGCTCAATCTACTTATGGGCCTTTTTCCTATACAGAACCTTTTGGCCTATATGTAAATAAGCAGTGCAGTGGATAGAGTGCTGAACTTGGAGTCTGGAAGACCCGAGTTCAAATCTTGCTTCTTGCCTTAGGTCACACAGATAATAAGTAACAGTCAACATTTTAACCCAGGTCACAATATGTGTGGATGAAAAGGTAGGTAGGTGGACTAGTCGTGTATTAAGAATGAGAGAAAAAAGATAGACTAACCAGGTGGTACACTGGGTCACTCAGTGTCTGAAAGGAACAAAAGAAGGCCCCTGATGCATTAGGTAGATCCTTTGTGAAAAATTTGTAGAAATGAAATAGACAGGAATCATAAGAGCTAAGAAAACATGGTAGAGTTTCAATGAAAGGAATACCTGCAGTACCAAAACTGGGGCTTTATGAAAGTATCAAAGCACCAGTGGTGGAAGAAGAAGCAAGAAATATGTTCTATAGACTCTCACCTGGACTGGATGAATCCTGGTTTTGGTGTTTCCTATGCCTTCCACTGTGGTGACAGCAGCTCCAAACAGAGAGCATATGGAAAGCAGGCAGGCATTGGCCGAATAATGTCTTCAGAATATAAAAGAGAAAAATCAATCTACTTTCCTTCTACAAGCAACTAGATGATCATTTTAATTGCTTTGTGTGAATGGAGTTGCTAACCAAATTCTACTTTAAAAATAATATTTTTCTGGCTGTGCTTTCCCCTACCTTTATTTATTTATTTCATTTGCCCTTTGAGCAGGTACCCAGATATCATCATATTATAAATAACTTATAATGATACCAATTTCTGAACAGTCAACCTTGCATACTCATTGTTTTGGCCCAGTTTTATTTCCAATTTCTAGTCAAAGCACTAGGTAGGGAGAAAATGGGCCAATAACACAATTTGGGTATTATTTTCCTTGCTGTAGATAAATGGATTGAGACGTCTAACCCAACAAGCCCAACAATGACAACAACAATGATGCAACTATAGAAAGATGAACATTTCCATGCTAAGAAAGATGAAGAGCATTGATAGGCATTCTCAGAGGACATGATAAAGGTGTCAAAAACTTGGAAAAAAATAGCTTCAGAATGAGTAGATATTAATACACTGATCAACAGCAAAGGCTGATAGTAAGTACATTATGAAATATCCCATCTATAGTCACAAGCGGCTTAAATCTGGATGGAACACATAAAGCACCCAAGATCCAAGAGTACAATCAAAAGGCGTCGGTGACACTTCCATGGACTCAGTCAACAACAGGCTGAGCTAATCTTATGAAAGAGGCTGAGTCATGTAGATACGTTTGTGGAAATAGAAAGGTTTGTGATAGCAATTCAGGGGTAGGTCATTGCCACCAGAAATAACAGGAAGGTGATCCTTAAAGAGAATAGATTTTGTAATCAGTATAGATTATGCAAGGAAATGAAGAAGACTGTACAACAAATCACTGCAGGCTACAAAAGTTTAGTAGGTATTGAATACCTAGCAAAAATGACCTCATCATCAGAAGCAGACACCTGAAACATGCTGCATTTCATGGACAGCCAAGGAACAAATCACCAGATTATAATCACAGACCTCAAAACATCCTAGAAAATACAACCAACACACTTGACAGGAACCAAACTATCGTTCCAGATCTAACTCTTGCTCGCAATTGTCTAGATATGACATGGAGTCAAAAAAATGTAAGAACATTGGTTTTAATAGATTCCACTACCCCAAATATCCATAATTTTGAAGCTACGTGAAACAAAAACCTGACCTAGTAGGCTTAAATCATGTTGGGAGCAGGATGAGGTATATATTATTATTGCAGTTGCCCTATCTCTACCGAAGTTATACTGAGGAAGTTTTCAGAAAGCCTACAATGGATGAGCTTATATCCTAATTTATTGTTGTTCAGTCATTTTCAGCCATATCTGGCTTTACCATTTGGGGTTTTCTTGGCAGAGGTTCTGGAGCAGTTTGCCATTTCCTTCTCCAACTCATTTTATAGATGAGGAAACTGAGGCAAACAGGGTTAAGTGACTTGCCCAGGGTCACACAGCTAGTAAGTGTGTGAGGCCAGATTTGAAGTCAAAAAGATGTCTGGCACTCTATCCACTGGGCCACCTAGCTGCTTGCAAACTTTAAGTACTATGCAAATGTCAGTTTTTATCATTTCTGCTATCATAGCCCTATATATCTATGACAGAAGAAAAGTTCCAAATGATAAAAGTTAACTTTTTTCATTTTCAGGAATGAAATAATTCCTGATTTTCATTTTCAGGACTCTGAGGAAGGATACCTTATCTTCTTAGTCCCTGGGTCATATCTTGACACCATCACCGTGCAAGCTCCGCAGCCTCCTCCTCCACAGCCATATTTTGTCCCTGTCAGACGGACTTGAAAGGCAGCAGTCAAAGAAAACCTTTTTCTGATGCTTTTCTCTTTGAATTATTTCATTAAGTTCTGACTAAAATGAGTTTTTATATCCAGTCCTATAGCTGAAATTCAAGAGGCTTAACTTTGGGGGGAGAGGGAGGTTTCTTGGTTGCTGTTAACTGGCAACAGACTATATAATAAACTTTTGATTATTTTTCTGACTAATCTAGAGTCTCCTCTTCCTCTGCAATTCAGTCTCAGGCAGGCAGCAAGCAGTAATATTAGGCTGGGAGAGGGAGAAATCTATGGTATTTGATCATCTGAACTTGGATGTGTTTGAGCCTTAAGCTGTATGTCTATAACTTTGTCCCAAAGACAAAATAGATATGTGATTTTATTATTTGTTGTTTGTCTCGACTCCCAGAGGGAGAATATCAAATCAACATCTCAACCAGGGTTCTACAGGGGAAGATATCATTGTTGTCTAGGGAGGAATAACAACCTAATGTTCTGTGGCTAGCAAACTGCCTCCTTTTTCTAAACATGGAGTCAAGGGTTGCCTAGATGGAAACAGCTTCCTACTGCCAGCACTCCAAACTCTCTTAGTCTCATTCACATTAGCCTTACCTCTTCAAAACTCCAGCATGGCTCTGCTTTACCTTCCTATTGTACCATCTAGAACCCTCCTCTATCATTAACCAACTTCTTTTCATCTTAGATCCTTTGTTATCACATGCCTTTAATGTCTTTGCACTCACAAAACCTGACTTTCTATGTTTTATTTTCTTTTGCTTTTTGGTGAGACAATCAGGGTTAAGAGATTTGCCTAGGGTCACCCAGCTAGTGTCAAGTGTCTGAGGCCGCTGACTTTCTTCTTCCCCAATTCCTGTTCCTAGAAGACACTGCATTCCTAGCCACCCTCTCCAAGACTGAATGTACCTTCTACCATCCTCTATCACTTGTCGCTATGCAAGCAAAGGACCAGGGGGAAAAGTAAATATAATCCTTGCTCTTCAGTGTGACTCCCAGATCCTCATTCAGCTGCAACCTCACTCAGCAACCTCTCCTCCTCTCAAATTCATTCCATTCATTTCTATCACCCAGTCTAAAGCCTACCTATTATCTGCCAAACCCTCTTTCTCCCTCTTTCTCAAGTTCATCACCCTGGCTCACATTTTTCCAGACCGTTCCAGCAACTCCTTTCCTATAAAGGGATTTCAATATATGTTGCTGTCTCCTCAAACACCCTAGTCTCCTAGTCCATTATCTTCCTAACTCATAATCTATACCTTCACTTCTAGTACCTAGTACACTTCATAGATAAATAGTAAGTGCCTGATGATTACCCACAGTATTTCTGTCTGTGTAATTGATAGGAGAGAATTGATTGACTATATAGTGCTTTACTCTAAAAAAAAAATTCAAGGACATTCACATACGTTTTTCTGTATCCAGAGAGTAGTCTCATCAAAAAGATTTTTTTTAATGTTGACATGAGAATAGAGAGTAATTTTAAAACTTTTAAACTCATGCCATTAAATTAAAAAGCAATCTTTCCTCACTCTTATTTATTCTACTTTATTCTTTTTTTAAAAAATCTTTTTTTAGTTATATCTTTTGTTTTTGAGACACTTTCATTTCCAAACAGGTCATTCCAGGTCCTCTGCTCAACAAACTCTCCCTGAGCACACAAACTTTAAAATACTGGGGTAGGCAGAAGTAGTTCACCGTAACCAATCACCAATTCAATACAGTGTGAGAGAATATGCAATAGTGCAAACCCATCACCCACCACCTCTGAAAATAGGAAAATGAGGTGCATTTTTTCAGCTCATCAGGATCAATCTTGGTCATTATAATGTCGTTCAGTTTAAATATTTGAGAATATTTTCACACATTTCAAGAACTATCTATATCAAATAGTAACTACGAATACAAATCTCACTTTCTCCTTTAGAGCCTATTCTTTAATTTTCTTCCCCCTTTCTCTTTATGAGGATGTTTTACTCTCTTGGTGGTCTCATTTCAATGAATAGTTCTCTTGGATTTTTTTTTAAATGTTGTTTCTCAATTCTAAAATATTGACTAGTATGTCCTCTATAACTCATTGCTTTAATTCTCATAGCTCTAGTCAACTGAAGTATTTGTATTCTCTTTTGTTCTATTTCATACATCTTGAGCAGTGTCAAAGACAGAACTAGAACCTTGGGGGATAGATGAAACAAGCATTTATTAAGCACCTACTATTTACCAGGAGCTATTGTGCCACCTAGCTGCCTCCAGAGACCTAATTGTGGAATGGAGGTATCCCAGGACCGTTTCTGTGAATTACAGTTTTAAAATGTGAATGAAGTTTACAAACATTTTTTTTCAGAAACAGCTTTGTAAGGTAAGTAATGCAAGTTCTTTTATCCCCACTCTACAGATGAAGAAACTGAGCTTCTCAGAGTTTAGGTGACTTGCTAGTAGTCTTACCTACAGTGTTCTAACGAGCTAACAAGTTTCTAAGGTGGGATTCAGACCCAGGTCTCCTGATGCTGAATCCAGCACTCTTCTGCTCAGCCTACTAGATCACTGATGCAGTAGAAAGAACACTGGAGTGAGACAGCCTGGGATTGAATCCTGGTCTTTCTATTTACTACCCTGTATCACCTTGAGAAAATGACTTGATCTATCTAGGCCTCAGTTTTCTCATCTGAATAATGACATCTAGGACCTTTCTAGCTATAAATCTATGGTCCTTTAATCAAAGTCCAATCCCCATGCTATAGAGACAACTTGCCAAAGTCATACAGTAAGTTAGTAGAAGTAATTGTTTGTCCCTCCACTGACCCAGGGAGAAAGTCTACCTATCCTTTAAAGCTCAATTCAAATGTCACCTCCCATATGAAACCCTCCTTGATATTCTCAATCAGTAACATCCTCTCCCCTTTTGAGCTTCACAAAGCACCTGGGTTTAAATTCTGGTGCTGCTGCTTACTACTTGTGTGACTTTGGGCAAGTCACTAAACATTTCTTTATCTCAGTTTCCTCACCTGTAAAATGAGAGCCTTGGACTAGATTACTTCTAAGGTCCTTTCCAGTTCTAAATATAAACTCCAGTGTACACATTTTTTATGTCACTGTATTACATTTATTCTGTGTTATTTTGTATTACAAGTCATATCTCTCTACTCAACAATAATCTTCATAGCATAAAGACTATGTCTTGTTTAAACTTCGTATCTTCCAAGTGCCCAAGACAATGCAGTGAATATAGTAGATGATTAATAAATACATATCAAATTGAAATGAACCTGACTAGTAGACACTTTTTGTATACTTTTGAAAGAGCCAGGAAAATTACTGAGAATTGGCCCAAGGATTTGCTCTTGGACTTTTCTAATACCACATACTTATGAGGGTGAAATGGAGACTATCAGTTTACAAATGGGGGGATTGATCCACAAGAGTAGCCATTAAGAGAAAAAAGAGGAGAGTAGCCTCAAGAGAAGAGAAAGCTTGCAGCCTGGAACTAGGATTTCGTTGTTCAGAAGATCATAGGATCCTAGATTTAGATTGGAAGAGATCTTGGAGGCCATCAAATCTAAGGTTCTCATTTTACAGATGAGGAAACAGAGACCTAGGATCTCATAGCTATTAGGGGAGGTGGGAGGGTAATAGCAGAGGGATGCTACTGATCTTTTTTTTTAAAGTGCTTGATGTAAAACTCTGTACCATAAGTTACTTTAATTACAGACACACAAAGAGACACAGATGGAATGAAAGGATACGTTTCTTCCTCAAATATGGTAACAACATTGTTTCAGGATCTGCATTCTTCTCCATTACCTGAACCAAGGAGAAAAATTAGAGATTTATGTTAAAATGTGATCCAGGGTCACAGATTGCTAGGTCGATACTTGCCAAAAGAAGAAAGCTTCTAAAGTTATTCTGAGACAAATTTTCAAGGGGAGCAATTATTACCCACTTTGGAATTTGCTTTGGGGGAGCAAAAGTATGAATCAAAGTTTCATTTGACTAAGGAGACTATATGTGTAGCTACTAGGTAACTGGTACATTGAAAGGATTCACTAGTACTGATTTAACTAAACAGAATATAAGGTATTGCATTTAATTATGTGGATAATGCTTCTGGTGCATTCAGGTAGCATCCACATCATTCTCTTCTCCCCTCCACCCCCACTATTATTTCTGTCTTTTTGTCTTCAGAACTTCATTATTGAGAGCTTCCCATTTTTCCTGGGTTGGTTCCCCCTGAGTCTATCTATCCTTCTCTGTATCCTTTGAATCATGCTCTCCCAAAATAACTCATATTTACATTTTTAACACTTAGAAAGAGTTGACAGCTTATTGGCTGTTGGCTGGGCTCAATCTTGCCTCTGATACTATGTGACTATTTGGAACAGTTAACCTATCCGAATCTCTAAGGATTCTCTAAGATATGGGTTCTTAACTTGAATCCATCATTAAATTTCAGGGAGTCTATTAACTTAGAGGGAGAAAGAATTGCATCTTTATTTCCACTACCATCTAAGTGAAATTTAGTACTTCTTCCAATTATCAATTTAAAAAAAATTATTCTGAGAAGGGGTTCATACGTTTCACCAGATTTCCAAAAGGGTCCATGACAGAAAAAAGGGTTAATAACTCCTTCTCCTAAGACTTACTAATTGAATTATAGGGAAGATGTCTTCCATTTGTGGGATTCCCATATCAATGATATGTCTATCAATAATAATCAACATGGAGGTAAGAATTTCTCTTAGAAACTGCACTTGCCAATTTAATCAAGGGGAATGATAAGATAACTAATTTTTAATCAGAATCATAATCTTATTAATCTTATTAAAAGAAATGTATCTTCATCTTTATAATATAAATAAATAAGACACTGTTTTCCTTTCCAAATAAGTGTGCTTTGATTAAATGCCGAGAGACTGAAGCAGCTATGTAGAACAGTGGATAGAGTTTTGGACCTGAAGTCAGGAAGAACTGAATTCATATGTGACATCAGACAATCACTGTGCAACCCTGGACAATTCACTTAACTTCTGTCTGCCTCAGTTTCCTCCTCTGTAAAACAGAGATAATAACAGCACTTATCCGCTACAGAGGTTGTGAGGGTAAAATGAGAAAATATTTATAAAATGCTTTGTAAGCTTTAAAGTGCAATATAAATTGAACTATTATTATTAGGTATAATTAGCCCTGAATCTACTTTATATATTTACTTTGAAAGTCAACATTATACAAAAATTTTGCAACCTACATGCAATACAATGCCCTGGACGAACAGTTTTTTGAGGAGGAAAATGCTTCTAAAGAAAAAAAAAACTACAGCATAATACAGTAGGATACTATATGATGAATTAGACTTTCAGTTAAAGACTTGATAGTTGATTTAGAGGAGTCACTTAAACCTTTCTGTGACTCAGTTTCCCCCTTCATAAAGTAGATCAATAATTCCAGAGTCTGGTCTTAAATCCAGCAAATGATTATTCCAATAAGTCTCCTTCTACTAATACCTTCCCTGCATTACCTGAAAGCGTTCATTTCACTTAATCACACTGTCTGAAGTTCCCACAACAATCAAAAATCTAGCTTAGTTAATTAATAAGAAGCCTCCTTTCAAATGGACAGCAAGTATGACAAAAGATAGAAGAGTTCAATGGTTGGAGGCACTGCCCAGAGACAGCCCCTGTTTCTAGAGCTGTAAACTGGTCTAACCATTCTGGTAAGTAAATTACATTAAGAAAGTGACTAAAATGTTAATGCTCTTTTACCCAGATATCCGCCCTGCTTAAGCGGATATTCCAAGGAAGTCAAAGACAATAAGGTCTCTACAGTTAAACATTCACAGCAACATTTTTGGATGATATGCAGTAGCAGGCAAAGAGCTAGAAACAATGGAGATGCTGGAGAATGGCCAAATATCACAAATAGAATGGAATAATACGTGCTATAAAAATGAAGCATATGGAAAACTCAGCGAAATCTTCAGAGATTTGTACAAACTGATAACAGAGTAAGAGGAGAACCGGGAAAACAATGAACCTAATAATTATAACAATGTAACTAGAAAGAACCACTTTGTGCTTTGTAAATATAACCAAGTTTGGCCCCAATGAGGATATGTGAAATTCATCTACCTCTCTTTTGTTTGGGGGGGGGGGAGGTGGGAAACTATAGATGTAGGACATTCCATTGACTGTGGCACTTACTGTTGTTGGGTAGTTGTGCTGAACAGCTTTTTAAAAGACTTTGCTGCAAAGGAAACGAATTGTATTGAAATAAAATTATCTATCTATATATCAATAAGTCTATATGGATCTATTCTTCTATCCATCTCAATAGAGATACAGATCTGTATGGGTAGTTTGGTCGTACCCTACTTAGAGCACTAGCCCTGGATTCAGAAAACTTCAGTTCAAATCCATCCTCAAACACTTAGTACGTCTCAGTTTCCTCAAATGTAAAGTAGGGGATAACAGTACCACCCCAGGTTTGTTGCAAGGATCAAATGAAATATTTGTAAAATGCTCAGCACATAACAGACATATAATAAATATTTGTTCCCTCCTTCTTTCCTTCCCATCTTCAAGTACATGGTCAAGCCCACCCTGATGCCCACCTTCAGTTAACTCACCTTTCTGCCATTCACATAGAAAAGCAGTTCTGATGGTCCATTTAAGTCTAAAGACATGACGGCAAATGAGTGCGCTGGTCAGCTAAGTCTGGTAAAGAGTTCACAGAAACCTTGGCACAAAAGAGTTATCTGGGCTCAGGCTGATGTGCAGTCAGCAGAGAGCAGCTCAACACAACTGACCCAGGCAAGGCTCCAGACCTCAACTGAGGACCCGAGCGGGAGGTGAAGTTCTGATTGTCCGCTCCGCCCCAGTCTCCTCTGGCCTAGGCTGGGCAGGGAGAGTTTCAATGCGCACACACCCCACCCCCTTCCCTTTCTCCCAATAGCATTTTAGAAGAAAAAAACTCCTTTCTTTTCCCCTCTCCCTCCCTCTTTCCTCCTTTAATTTCCCAAGCCGTTCTCAGTGACTTTTCCTCCCACGTCCCTTTTCTCCTCTTCTCCTTCCCTCTCGCCCTTCCCACCCCTTTCCCCGCTCCTTGTCCTCCCTCTTTCTCTCGTCCCCCTCCGGTCTCTGGTCTCCCCCTCCACCCTAACGCCTAAATTTCACTTTCTCACCCAGAGGATTTTCAACTGGGACACAGATTTAAGTAGTCTAAAAGCAATCAGGCCTGCTTTTAAAAATTCAATCACAAACAAACAAAATCCAGATTAAAAATCATCCCACGTTGCATGTCATCTCCTTTGGAATACAGCATCGTGCGGAATATTGTCGCCAGAGTACATATAACAAGAACTTTAAGAAAAATTGTCCAATTAATTCTACCCAGAGATATTCTTCCTCCGAAATCCATGGTACTTATTATTTCAATTGGCAATCTATGATAGGAATGTAAACTCCTTGAGAGAGGAGATTACTTCATTCTTTGTGTGTGTGTGTGTGTGTGTGTGTGTGTGTGTGTGTGTGTGTGTGAGAGAGAGAGAGAGAGAGAGAGAGAGAGAGAGAGAGAGAGAGAGAGAGAGAGAGAGAGAGAGAGAGAGAGAGAGATTCCTGCCTAGAAAAGCTCCGGGAAGGTGCCTAGTAAGTACTAGAGTTAACTGGGTGGCACAGTGGGTAGTGTGTCCAGGCTGGAGTTTAGTAAGACTCTTCTTCCTGAGTTCAAACCTGGACTTAGACGCTTACTAGCTGTGTGACCCTGGGCGAGTCATTTTAACTCAGTTTCCTCATTTATAAAATGAGCTGTGGAAATAAATGTCAAACCACTCCAGTGACTTTACTAAGAAAACCCCAAATGGGGTCATGAACAGTCAGACACAACTGAAATGACTGAACAATTGAGGATTCTAGTTATTATTTTAAAGATTTCCCTGTTAGATAAATGCCTAGCTAACTTTTGGGCTTTATATTTTTGTTGTTGTTGTTTATAATGATAGATGTTTTATACATACATACATATGTGTGTATGTGTGTAACTACAGATCACACTCAGGACAATGGACATTCTTCAGCCATTTTGGCTTTCCTGGGTGAACACTTAGACCAAACTCATTTGATGGATTGTGGATTTCATCTAGGACACTCTAAAATAGGAGGGGGTTTAATGTAGCTGGTCCAATGTCAACCGCAGGCAGAAACATCTACAGAGAATTCCTCTCTAACTTGGACTCTATGTTTTGTCACCTCTACGACAGTGATAAATACCTTGTGAGCATATGTTATACCCTGGTTGAGATTAATCAATAATCATTAAGTACTTACTATGTGCTGGTGTTGCAGTAGGTGATGAGGATACAAATATAATGAGGGAAACAATCCCTTTTTTCAAGGGTCTTATGTTCAAATGGAATGAGATAATGAATACATAAAATATTCAGAAAAAATAAAAGTAAATTATTAATGTAAACAAAATAGTTAACCCTGAGTTGAGATTTTATTTTATTCTGAACTTAAGAAATAAAACAAGCATTTCCATAATGTAGTAGAAAAGGGGGAAAGAAGATGGTTGCACATGAAACTGCAAATTATGTACAGTTTGCTATTCCTATTAAAAATACATTAAGGTTATCATGTAATTTTTTTTCTTCCCTCCCTAGCCTCTACCCTAGAGATAGCAATCATTAGATACAAATATATGTATGTATGTAAAATTATTCTATACATACTTGTATTTATCAGATCTTTCTCTGGATACAGATAGCATCTTCCTTCACAGGTCCTTTGTAGCTAATTTGGCTATTTATAACACCTAAGATAGTTTACAAGGGAGGGCAATAGGACCTGGGAAAGGGGAGAACAAGAATGGCCTCATGCAGAAGGTGGTACCTGAGCTGTATCCAAAGTACCTGAGGGACATTAATGATCTGGATAAACAAGGTTATCTGTTATACTTTTCAAGGGATCATATGAAATTTTGACATTTACATGACACCTTGTTAGAAAGGATCCTTTAAAATGGTGTTTTGCTTTACCAAAATCAAAAGCTTTTTTTTCAACAGCCAACAAATAATAAATAGCAATTTTTTTCCCAGTCAACAAAAGGCTATTCTCCTTCTAGTCTTTCACACCCCCATTAAAAAAAACTTGTGATAACTATGTACAATCAAGCAAAACACATTCCCACATTGTCCATATTAAAAAAATTTACGTCTTTCATTCTTTACTTTGAATATGTCACCTGTCAGGAGATGGATAGCATACTTTATCATCAGTCCTCTGGAAATATGGTTGGTCACTATTTTTAGAGTTCTTTTTTTTTCCTCTTAATAGTATTTTTTCCAATTACATGTAAAGATAGTTTTCAACACTCATTTTTGTAAAATTTTGAGTTCCAAATTTTTCTCCTTCCCTCCCTTCCCAAGACAGTAGGCAATCTGATATAGATTATACATGTACAGTTAAACACATTTCCATATTACTCATGTTGTGAAAGAAGAATCAGAAAGGAAAAGACATGAGAAAGAAAAAAAAGTGAAAATAGTATACTTTGATCTGCATTCAGACTCCGTATTTCTCTCTCTGGATGTGGTTAGTATTTTCCATCTTGATTCTTTTGGAATTGTCTTGGATCATTGTACTGCTGAAAAAAAGCTAAGTCTATCCTACTTAATCATCACACAATGTTGTGGTTATATTTAGAGTTCTTAAATAGTTCAAAGTGCAGAATAAAATCTTGTATTCTCAATATCTTTGTCAACTCAGTGTTTGTAAATACATGGACCCTGTTGTGAAACATTTCTTGGGAAAGCCTGCCTATTCCCTGCCAAATCCCTCATTAAAGATCAACCAACAAGCATTTATTAAGCTCTCGCAATGTGCCGGGCATGCACTTGATACATGTACATGTATGCTCATAACATTTTTATTTAAATGAGAAAATAGCAGTTTTGATGTTCTTTTTTTCTCTTTTGCATTAATAGTGTAGTCAGACAATTTCCCTGATCTTGATGTCTTTCTCTAATAATGTACTTATGTTATAAAACATACTCAAAATAAAAAAAATTTGAGTTGATTACAAAAACATTTCCAAAATAATTTTATTAATGGTACAATAAACCTTTTTTTTTTGCTCTAAGGAAGTATGTGAATATATTCCATAATTTTTTTTAAAATACTACTTCAGCACTTGATGAGAGTGATATGAAGTTCAGACACTTTGTGAATTAGTCCCTCTAGTTCTCACAATTGTGATCTAGCATGGATCTTCTCTGTACATTTGCTCATCTTGAGCTGCTTTTCCTGTCTTTGATCCCTTTAGTGTCACTTCTACTTCTTCTATAAGTCTAACATTCATAACACTGCTGGGCAAAAGTTGTTAGGGCACTGCACCTACTTTTTCTCCCTTAAAGGCCCCTTTACTTTGGACCCAGACATGGTTTGGAGAGCTCAGTTTTGAGAAGAGCTTGGCCTCTAACAAGAAAGGGACAGTCTTCTCACACTTTTCAGTTTGTTTAGCCTCCACCCTGGGGGAAAATTCATTAATATCTTAAGTTTGGGCTCATGTCTAGCTCTCTCAAAGGGAGTGGACAGTTGGTAGGGAGGGAAAAGTATTCAATGTACAATGAGGCTAAATGGGACAGGGAGTGTTGGGACTTGGAATCAGGAAGACCTGAGTCTAATTCCTACCTCCCTGTTCAAGTCATTTAAACTCAGTCTTACTTTTCTAATCTGTCAAATGGAGATAATAATGGCATCTATCTCCCAAGGTTACTGAGGAATAAATGAGGCAATATGTAAAGTGTATTACAAACCTTAAGGTGCTATATAAATGCTAGCTTTTATTAAAAAGTATAAAACAAGTATTTACTATTTAAAAAAGAAATTCCAAAACACTCACAAATGGACATTGATAGAAAAATAAAACAGAATTCAGGAACTTATTACTAGTGCTATCCCCTCTTGGAGTAATTCCATTTCTCTCTAAGCTCCACTTCTGATGCTCTGGACTTTTCCACTTCAGCCTCAGCTGCCTTCTCAACCTGGAAAGGGCTCCAACCCTCCTCCTGTTGTTGATTTCCTGACCAGAACTTCCACTGGGAAAGTGCCTAGGACAGCTGTAGTTCACTTCCTTCCAGGTTCTGATCTTGTATCTCTGGACTTTTCTATCTTGTCCCTGCCACGGTAGTTTCTCATTCTGCCTCTTCCAATCCCCAACTCTGGCTTTTCAGCTCCCTTTTATGTATTCTCTTTCCCCACTGGAATATAGCTTTTTAAGGGTAGAGACTGTCTTTTTGCTCTAATGTATGGGCTCCTAAAAATCACTGTGCTATGCAAAATTACACAATAAAAACCACAAGGGTTACAGGAAAAATGGGTTTGGGGCACCACACTTAAAAGTTTTGTCAGTGATGTATAAAAAGACAGAAACCTCATAAAGGTGGTAACAATTTTATATGTTATATGGTTAAGAAATACATAAATACTACAACAAATAGTGGCAGCATTTAAGGCCTCAGGCTGCTGCTTGGCCTGCACCCTTGTTCCCACAGTCAGTCAATAAACATTTATTAAATGTTTGCTATGTGCTATGCTAAGTACTGAGGATACAGATAGTCCTTCCTCTCGGAGAGATTATAATCTAATTGGGAAGACATGAAAATAAGTAAGTACAAACAAGTTACATATAGGATAAATTGTAATAAATGATGTCTTTATCCTATAATTAGCACAACATATGCATAGGTTAATGATGAGTAGATGTTAACTCATATTTTAAATATTTTTGATAATTTCTATTTTTTTTGTCCAAATTTTCATATGATTACATTATCACTGCTTTACCTTGTAATGTGGCTGATGAAGAGAACAACTTAGGAAAAGGAGTGTCTGCTG